ATAGCTGAGAGAGGTTAAATATCTGATATATTGTTCTCATTTAGCATGTGTATCGTATAACATGAGAGATGCAACAGATATAATTATGTGCGAAGATACTATACAAGGACGTGTGGAGAATTTCGTACCTGAGAGGGAGTTAATATCAACATCTTCCTTGTATTCCTTTGATAATTAAATTAATGTCCGGAGGGGGTTTGTGGGAAATGTTGTGCGTGGGTTGAAGCAAGTGAATTGTTCGATGATGAAAATCAATTAGATAGAGACGAGTGGTTTTCCAGATAAAGGACAAGAGAATAGAGGGATTTCGTTTCAGGACTGTGTGTTGGGAATGAAGTTGGTATGGTTTTAGGGCAGAAAAGTTTAGGATAACCACATAAATGTACTCCATTTCTAGTTGATTTGCACAAAAATTTCCATTTTGACCGATTTACATGTTTAAACTTAATGTGAAAATAAAGTTGAGTATTTTAAACATTTATATTCACCCTTTTGTGTGGAGAAAAAATTGCAATTTTCTCATATTTCCCATATTTGTGAATAGAGGATTTTATTAAAAAAAAGGAAAGAAAGGAATCTGTGCAATATTTCTATTTACTCTTCACTTGTATATGGAAAGATTATTTTCATGTAGAAAGATTTTCTGTGCTGAAAATCTCTTGAGTATACACAAAAAGCACAGAGAGATTTAACTGTGCTCTCTTACGATCTTTTCGGTCTCTGTTAATGGTTCTTCTCTTAGGATTGTTATGTGCATGAGGAGGAGAGTACCTGAGTGAAAATTCCAAATATCACGTTCAATTGTGTGTATCTAAACATTTGGATTCTGTTGCCTGAATGTGTGTTTGCGTTGGGACTGAACAAAAATCACCTCATGATTCGTTGTGATTTTCCGCATGATGTTCGAGGATTAGTATTTTGTGCTTTTTTTCCCGTTCACTCTTCTGGTAATTCGCGCGAAAGATGTAAATCCACAAATATGCGGTGCTCACTTGGCAAATATGAAGGACGAAGAGTGAAAAATTAGAGTAATCGCGATAATTGCCAGAGATTTACAGTGTGGAAGAGGGAACGGTGGATTTAGTGGGGGTGGAGGAGGAGGTGGTGCTCTCCTCAAGAGATAAGTCCATAGTTAAATATTTATTTGAGGCTCTGCGGATTCCACTTGGATGGCTCCGGTTGGGTGATCTGTTGGGATTTAGCAACCAACCCCAACAGATAAAAATCCCAACTAAACACTGTGTGTGTGTGTTTGCGTGCTGTGTGTGTGCGGGTGATATGGACAGAATTCACAGTGAGAGAGAGATTATAGACCTAAATATTGAAACTATCAAATGACACCCTCATTTTGGGGAGGGATGCTTGTCATGTCGTTGTGCTGTTTTTGGGAAAATTAAGGATATACGCAGATGGGTTTGCGTGCGGTTGTCAATAAAATATCCAATTGGTGAGATGAAAAAGGCAAGAAAGCTCAATTTTTGCATATTCAGTGTGAGGTTTTTATGAACAACTGTGTGTGAGTGTGTGTGTGTGTGTTTTAACTGTCTACCCGTGGCTTGATTGTGGGGAGTCCTTTAAAATGGCACATCTTGTGGCAGCATTTGGTTGATATTCAAATGAGACAGAAACACTATATGATGTGTGCTATTCGATGTTGAATTCTATTCATTTACTTTTGGAAATCTCTAAAATAAAATCATTTTATCAATTTTTAGATATTAAAATAATATGCGGTCCATAAAAATTCTAAGTGTTTTTCCTTTCCTAACTTGCACAACATTTCTCTCACCACTTCTTGTCCTTATTTCACTTAAGATTGTATATTACAAGTGTCTAAAAAAGAGGAAAACCTATGAGAAAATGTCAATGATTTGTGTAGCAAAGTGGAAATTCCTGATTCAGTCACATTTGCGATGCTCTGTGTTGTGTAAATTTGCGATTGTGCCTGAGCTTTTGAATGTATAGAGAGTCTAATTCCGTCACTGGTGTGGTGATCCGTGTGATATGGATTACAGGGTGGCGGCGGGATGAAATGATACGGTAAGCGGGAGACTGTGAAAGATGATCCCTTAAGCGTCGTAAAGTACATACAACTGTTGTGAGCCTTGTGGGGGTGAATTATTGATCTTTCACACTCCTTCTCGCTTCATTTTCCTGTTTCCCATTCAGATTAATATCGCGCCAGTTTTTCAGGTTGAGAAACTGAGTATTTTTTCATCCTATGGAGAAAAACATCCTCATTCATTTCATCTCCATTGAAGGTGGAATTTTTCTGCTGATGTCTTCCATTTTTGCTGGTTGGGATAGAGAGTGTGTGTGTGTGTGTGTGTGCTGGCAATTGATGGGCTTCTAGTTCTTCTTTATTCCTGGGCGGGATGGAAGATGCTGATGCAGAATGAGAGACCTTCTAAGCATGATTGAAGAAAAGAGGAACTTTTTCTTGTTCTCGCACTTTTTATTATTATTATTACATTATTGCTACTGTGGCATCAGATGGAAGAGACAGAAAGAGAGGGAGAGAGAGCACAGCAAAGAGTGGGTGACTCTGGGATGTTCTGGGTGGAAATATTGGGAAAAGAAATTTGCTCTCATTTGCCGCTCCTCCAGAAAGTGCTTCCTTGTTTGACAAACATGTTCCTTGCAAAGTGATGGGTCATGCTTAATTTATTATTACAATAAATTTTTTTCTTCACTTCACGGTGGGTGGCGGTGAGAATTGGGTGGTAGGGAGAGAGAGAGAAAAAAGCGGAATATCAGTAAATATTTGCTCGTGTAATTTACTGTGGTATGACACTGAGGGTGGAATGACCAAGGAATGAAGTCAGAAAGAGAGAGAGAGAATATGAGCTTGAAAATTTGTCATTTAACTTTTATCTCCATGAACTTCTGCACGAGCTTTTTTTCTTTCTCTGCTCTTCTGTGGGTGGAGTTTTTTAATAATCAAGAGTAAAGCTGTGAAGGGAAAACATGGAGGAAGGTTTCTTGTGGTGGGAAAAATATTTTCATTTAATTAAGAGTAACTTTGCCACACGCCGAAGGAATTTCTATTAAAGCATACATATATGTACTATAAGGACTATAAGTTTTTTTTTGTCTTTGTTGTAGATGAAAATATAAATTTCCTTTAATGGGTTGCATCATAAATTCAATGAAACATTTATTATTTCAGGGTGTAAAACACATGAATTTCTGTTATGAGGGTTTGTCGGTTTCTATGCAGCACTTGTGGTTGGAAGTTGTCTAAAGATGGTGCAGTGATGATTTATAGAGTCTCATAAAGTAGAAATTGAAGTCTACATGGTTTAATTACATTGCACAAAAGTGAAGAAGGTTTTGTCATGTTCGTATGATGCAGAAATAAATCTCAATTTCCACCTTAAATTGTCAAAATTTAACCAAATAAACGTGTGCTTATATGATATGTGACGTTCTTGAGAGATTTTCTATTTAGTTTTGATGTTGGAGAAATGAGGAAAACTGCAAAAGCTCTGAGACGCACAAAAGCACATTCTTCACTCGATGTATGAAGAATTTCCGTATTTTATTTTTCAATCATGGAAATAATTTATTCATTGCTTCAACTGCAATGTTTGTAAGATTATGGCGTTTATTGCTGTTCTCTCTATATCGTCTGGAGTTTCTTTTACAACTCTTAGCTTTCAGTTAAAAATTCAATTTGAAACGAATCTCTCTAGTTTCGGGGTTGTTTGTGTTTGAAAAACTATGTTGTATCTTTACTGTTTCCTCCAAGGTTTCTAACGTCAATAATTCTCACATTTTGCAGCAGCATGAGTATTGTTTGATGCCATCGCTGTGCTTCACAAGACGGTGTGCGCACGATGAGTGTATGCGATGAGGATTTTAATTAATTAATCCGTTGACATTGGAGCTGTGTCTTGCGACACTGAGTGTTTGCACAACTAAAAATGGCAGGGAATGTTTGACGATAGTTGGGAGAGTATTAAAACGTATATATAGCAGAATATTTACTAATTTACTATGGAATGCAGAGAAATATTATAAATTACTGACAAACACTCACGTTTTCACGGAAATTTTGCTGTGTCTAATTGCTGTCAGTGGATTAAGGGGGGATTTTCAATTAAAATTTATCCCTGAATTGTAGTGATAAGGAATTTTTTTTATTTCTATCTCACATGACGTATGAAAAATTAAAGGATTCTTCTGTCATTTACAAACTTGTCAAATGCCAGGCCGTTAATTGAGGAAGTCAGATCAATAGTGTAAACCTGTTTGAAAGTCGGAAGTTGAATTCTATGATTCATAGTGTTAAGAGGAGATACACAGAGAGAATATAAATTACATAAAACAGCATAATCTGTGTTTTCTTCCGCAATTTTTTACGACTTGATTGTGACTGAGAAAAACCTTTTTTTTTCTTTTTCTTGGTGGCAAACTGAGATGTTCGTGTCTTCTGTCTGTGGTATATCAAAATGCAAATTTGTTTGCATTTTCCCAGTTGAGTGTATTTGAACATTTGACTCCTACTCTCCGGATTTGTGTGTGTGTGTGTTTGTGTGATGTTGAGAAGCACAATTTGCTGCTGTTGGGTTGTTGGATAAAAATTCGACTTAATTATTACAAATGCGGGTTTTACGCCGCACACAATCTGTTCACTCTTGGGTGGAATATGGCATTATCATCTGGTGAGATGACAGAGAGAAAGGGAGGGAATAAAGTGTGGTGTTTGTTGTGATAATCGCGAGATAAGATAGGGAATGGCTCTATATTAATATTCCGTAGCTTGACTCCATGGTCCGTGACTTTAATTAAGGAGTACGCAATCTGGCTAAGAGGGCTTTTACTTCCACATTGAAATATTGGTCTATTTTTATTAATCGACTACGCTTCTGTTCTCTCTCTCTCTATTTGTTTTGTTGGTGTTTCAATTAGAGAATTGTTTTTGAAAGAACAACGTTGACATCATTCCTGAATTGCTCTTTGGATAAAGGGTTGATCTTAATGTTTGAAAGTCCATATTATATTTGCACTTTTAATTTATTGTATTTGGGAATTGTAATAATTATAATTTGAGAGCCATTGTCAGTTGAATATGTGTTTAGAAGTGTCCAATGATCCAGTTGCGGTGGGATGAGATGCGATCGTAGACATCTGGGAAGCCACGAGCGCATGGAATGCCCCAGGAGACAACGCCAATGGCTGAGTTGCCAACGGCCAGAGGTCCGCCAGAGTCAGCAGTGCACACTCCTTGTCCCACAACTCCGCCAGCGCAGATCTTGTGGTCGAAGATCAAGTTTCCGTTGCCACCGATGTTGTTCCTGCAGTTGGCATTGGTGTGGGTTTGCACGTTGACGAACTGCAGATTGGCGGCCAGACTGCCAGGACTGGAGGTCAGACCCCATCCGGAAGCGACAGCTGTGACTCCACCGCCGACGAAGGCAGATCCCAATGGGATGGACTGAATGAGTTGGGTGAATCCGATGTTGTTGGTCGTCTGCACGACAGACACGTCGTTGGCGATTGTGTTAGCGTTGTACTGTGGATGATTGACGATTCTGGTCAGGCCAAAGGATGTGCCTCCAGTGGTTCTCGAGTGAGCGCCCAAGACGACAATGGTGCCACCAGTGGTTCTGCCAACTGTGCAGTGAGCAGCTGACACAATCCAGCGATTGTTGGCCAGAATTCCACCGCAGAAGTGAGCATTGGCGCTAGTCCTGAGGGAGACTTGGTAGGGAAACTGACCAGGGGAAGCAGTGCTTCCGCCAACGACAAAATTGTCAAAGTACTCAGTGATCCCGACTTCGTTCTGCAAGTCCTGGACGGCATTGATGAAGTCATGTGGACCGGGATAATCTGGAGTGACTAGAGAATATCCGAGATGAGACCCAGCTTTGAAAACTATGAAAGTTTTAAACTTACCACTTCCAAAGGCCACAGCGGCAAGTGTGGAGAGAACGAAGAACTTAATCATCTTGACTAGACTTCACACGAGTAGTTGACTACTGGTTAATGATGTCTCTGAGTGGTTTATCACCGTCTTTTATACATCTCAAGAGGTGTCGCCTTATCAATGGGAATTTCAGAGTAATGCCCATTCGCTTTGATTTTCACTGATAAAGTGTGCTTAAGTCTGGGAATTTTCTATTGGCTTTCAAAATCTGGGAATTTTTAATAGAATTTTCCCAATTTTTATCTTTAGGTCTTTCCATTTGCGATTTTTTTTCTTCTTCTTTCTTCTTTTTTCTTCTTAACAGGGACGAAGAGAGAGATCTTATCAATCTTCGACATTGAGGTATTGAGTCATGTTCATTTATCTTTTCTCTCTTCAATTGATTTGCCCCTCTCGAAAATTCCCAGGATAAACACTCTGTTTTTCCACTTTTTTCTGCTTCATTAAGGATTTTCTTTGAGGGGTGATTTGCATGATTTTTTTTTCGAGGCACTTTTAGATTGTATTAAAGAGATGGCTGATGAGGTTTCGCCGGTTTTTCAGTGGGGGCGGCATGAGAGAGGTGGTTTTTCTCTGTATATTTCCCAAGTGGTTTTGTGCAAAGAGGAATTTGATTAGGGGTTAAAATGAGGTATGAAGAGACGCAGATTGAGTTCAGAAGTTGATAATTAACATAATTTTTCACTTTTCTCTCATTGACCGGAAAGATGAGATGATGGTGTTGGAGTAAACTTTTTTTTCAATAAAGAGTGTTTCTTTTTTCTCTGTTGAGCTTTAAACCTGAGATTATTTTCATGGGGATTCGAAGGAGAAATATATGTACATTTATGGTTGCAAATTGAGAAACTTTTTACAAGTTCTTTCGTCACATTTTTTATGTATCTTCTTTGGTGTTGCCAATTTTTTTCTTTTTGGAATGAGTATCTGACATTGTGAATATCATGCAATGCTACACAAAATACACCCACAAATAACCATATAAAGTAAACTGAATGGAGTGACGTTGAATTAAAGGGTTGGAGAGGAGGAATTGAAAGCGTGGAAAACACGCAAAGCTGTATGAAAAGTTTCTCGATGAGGTATTTTCATATCAGTCTCTTTCTGAGGTATGAAAAGTTTAATGGAAAAACAGATAATTTGTGAATATTGAGATGAAAGCAAAACTACACTCATTACGTGAATTTTTCCTCATTATATTCATGGTAGAATTTAAATCCGTAAATGTCATTCAAATGCTCTGTCGCTATTGATTTCTTCATTTCCTATTCACACAAGAGTGATGATGAAAGGAAGGATGTAGAATTTGTCAGATTTTAGTGAAAGAGAAATATTTCATTTCCATGGATGAAATTGAGATGATTTGCAAGAGAGAGAGAGAGAGAAAAGATGAAAAGGAATCTTGATAAAGTAAATTATAGCTAAATTTGTAGTCAAACTTTTATTATGTATGTATTAATTATCAAGCTAATACAAAACATTTTCTATCTAAGAGTGAAATATGAATAAATATAAGTCTTTCAATTGCTGACGGTCATAGAATGAGTTAACGTGAGTTGAATAATATTAAAAATAATTGCAAATTATACGGTTTATGGTTGGTACTGTAATAAGACGTTATATTGTGCTTATCTCAAGTGTGATATGAGCAATAAAAAATCAATTTATTTGCATTAAGCTTACAATACTGAGCGAGCAAGAGAGAAAGAGAGAGAGAGAGAGGGAGATTGCTGTATTTTGTCACTGCACTGCGCGTGAATTTAAATGGATTTTCCTGTGTGTGACGTAAGGCATGGCCAAATCCGCGTGAGGAGTCATTACACTGGTAAAAAAAACCGTCAACTCAATTGTAGAATTGATTTCTGTTTCACTCACTCGTCGTCACGCACACAGAAATGCTTTGTGGTGGCTTTTGGAGTGTCTTACTTGCGACGAAGAAAATCAATGAATTCCTAAAGATATCCATGCGGTTGCTGAGTAGATGTGCGATGGTTGGTGGGAGCAATTTTGCTTTGAATTTGTGTGATGGTCCGAATTTAGTTTGCTTGTTTTTCTATTTGTTTAGCCAGAAGACAGCTATTTGACATATACAAGATAGTTTTGACATTTTCCTAACCACACTTTGCGTGACTTTGTGCATATATTTTCTTTATTTGCACTGACTCTATGGAATTGAAGACTGGATTGTGTGACATGAGACATCAAAGTCCATTGGTGAAGTGTGTGAGAGAGGGAGAATTATGATACACACTGTAAATTTCAAATAAGCATTATTATGGTATTGTGGGGCGAGTGTTTATTGACAAACGTCATCTTTTACACATTGCTGTGTGCAATGGTGTGTTGAGTTAGAGTATATAAGAGATGGATAGTATTGCTTATAGAAGTTGATACATTCAGTAGAGTGAATGTGTTTGTGTGTTTCTCTGTTGTGTGTGCTGAGGAAGAGAATAAAAATTATCGCGCGCGTGAATTTTTCATATGGGTGTTTGAGGTGGGTTAACAGTATGGGCGCGCGTTGCCTGACTTGAGTATGGTTGGCGTTGTGACTTTATTCCGTGGGGCCCACTCAGAGTGTTCGGGCGCGGTGGGGACACGAGCAGTTGCGTTTGAATTATTGGCTTTGAATCGTGTGTGCGCGGCTCTGTTATCACTACCGTTTTGTCCATCTTGTGATAACGCGAGGTGTGAAAAGACAGAAGTGGTTAGATTGTGGTTAGATTACAGTCGCTGCGTGGTAATCTCAAGAAAATCCACACAATTGTAGTGGAAATGTGAGAATAAATATCGCTGTGGATGGTCGAATAACAATAATAATTGAACCACTTGATGTAAACGACGAATGAGAAGAAAAGGATATTTCAGTGGGAAAATACGTGCGTGTGTTTTTTGTGAAAGGATTTATTGAAATTATTCATGTGAGAAATTTTTTTTCCTTATCGCCGACCTCCTTTTTGGATAAAAGTATCCATAGTCGGTTGTGTGGTCGAGAAAGAACAATTTATTTTTAGTTGGTTGAACGAAAGGAAAATAACAAATAATATTTTCTCGTGAGAGGGAAAGAAGACAAAAAACATTGTGCGTGGCTTTTCCTCAAATAAAATCGTTTTTTCCTGCTGCTGTTGTGTTTGTGTTGGTGTGTGTGTGTACACAGAAAAAAAGGGGGACCAAGCAAAATATAGTTTCATTCGCGAACCCTGACGAATTTCGAACAATATAAATATCTGTGATATTGATGCGAATTCCGTGCCTTTGAGGTGATCAGAAAGCTTACGGAGAATTTGAAATCAACATTGTGAGGAATTTTTCATCGAGACTTCTCAACGGTTGACGCCCAGACTTCCAGGGAATATTATTTTTGAGTTTGTGAGCCGCCGAAGAGAAGTGAAGAGAGAGAGAGAAGGAGAAGCGAAAAGCGAAGACAAAGTGCAAATGTAAATTGGTGTGTCTTTATAAAACCAACACACAAGGTGGGAAGGAATTGGAGACGAGGAGAATTTCGATGATAAAAAAGCACACAAACGCAAAAGCCAAGAAAGTTGGGGAGTGAATAAGTCCGATCAAGTGGAAGAAAACGTGCAAAGAGGAGACAAAGATAAAAAAAAACTAGTCATACTAGGTGGAATTTTGTTTTTTTTAATCTCTTGTGGCTCTTCAATCGCAGAGAGAAGAAGAAGTGTTGTGTCTGTGTGGGTTTTTGTATTTGTAGGTAAAGAAGTCAAATTGTGGTTTGACAGGGATTTTTTTTCTTCCAGGGAGAGAAATGTTGAAAATTCTTCATTTAGATTTGACACTATCGAATCAATATGAGATTTGTTTGCATGTCGAATCACAAATATTTTCATTGATGTGCGATAAGAATGTTGTTTTGCTGTTGGAAAAAGATGAGAGATAAGTTTTATAAGTATATTTTGAAAAATACTGAGTCAGATTGAAATGTTATTGAGAAGATGAAGGGAAAAAAAACGATGAAATTTGTATAGAGGAAAATACTTTTTTTTTAATGAATTTTCTTCACAAGTTTCAGTATTGACTTTGGCGCTGAATGTGTCATAAAAATCACCTTGGCGTATAGTGAAGAATTTTTCCTGGAAATTTATCCAATTGAGTTCAAACGTCAATATGAGAATTACTCATCTAATTTTCGCAATTCTCATTAGATGTTGGACAATTCGTGGAACTTTGAGACACGCACATTGAAGTGACTAATTGTATTGACAAAGTGTTTTCCTTTTCCTTGCTTTTGACCCTCGGCTTTATGTATCTTAGGGTAGCACAATTGTGTGGTTAGGAAAAGGCTGCTTTTCAAGGATGGGGAAAGAGAGATGTGCGCATAGAATGGTGTGATCGAATGCAATCGAATGAAGCAAGATATACTAGAGATTCCTTGCTTATGTATATTAAAAACAAATGTCATTAATATGCTGACTGAATTTTTTTTTCTTCTGCAAACATCTAAACAGACATAAAACTGTGTGTTCACCATTAGAATTCACATAATGATTCTATTTTGAGCAAATTATCAGAATAATCTTGTGTGTTTATTCACATTTGACATGGAGAGATAACAGCAAAAGATTTCTTCAGTGCGATGATGATGAGTGGTGTGTTGTGTAAATCATATGGATGATGGGGTGAAATCTGTTTGGTGTGGAGATTATTACCTGTATGATTTGTATTTTCGTGGTGATATACACCATGACATTTTGCTTTGAATAATATCCAGTGCCTGATAACATTCACTATAGAAAATCTATGAGGGAATTTTCATTGTCAGATTTTGCTGGAAATTATTCAGATGGAATGCGCGAGCGATGGTGAAAAGTGGAGTGTGGAATCACATGAGACGCGGAGCGAGGCGTGTGTTTTCGAGAGCTTCATATATATACATATATATATGAAATGCCCTGTGCGAGTTTAATTATCTTAATAGAGTCTCAAGAGCACTCATGGAGTTTATGTGTGTCTTTTGATGTGTAAATTTGCCACACAGCTTTTCCTTCACTCCAATGCACTGTGTCTTTGCGGAGTTAATCAATGCAATTCCAAACTCTTGCGTGGGGTTTCACTATATATGCAGCACACGATGGTGTTGTCACACTGTGTTAAATCTACACCATACTCTTTCTTGTATGTAATATCATCGAAAATGCCTGTATCGCGTTTGCTTGACTTGTCAATGTATGTTTTTGATGGGTGCAATTGAGAAAGAGAAGAGAGAGAGAGGGAGTCGTTTGCAGTGTGCAATTGTGCAATTGATTTTTCTTTTTATTCTTTTTCAATTGCATGTGGCACATATTTATTGCATTTTCTAAAAAACCCACCTTTTTGTGTTTTCACTCACACACTTTGATATCAAATTGATTTTTTTCTCTCTTTTCCTGTCCATTGCAGCAAACCTTCTCTCACATCAAATATCTGTCGATTTTGCAATAGACACGAGCTTGTTTTTTTTATTCTTCTACCTTTTATTCGTCTCCTCGTGGTAGATAAACCGCACTGGTAAATTGAATGTGAATGATGTGGGGAAAACGTGTTTTACACCTGGAAACATTCCACCACATATATATGTACATATAAAGAAGAAAAAAATAAGTATAATCGCAAGTGCACTTCACGAGTGCATAAATAATGCAATAAATCTGTGTTGATATTTAAACTACCTGTTTTTGGATATCATAAAGAGGGTGGGATTTTTTGTCGCTTAAGAGTCTTCGCAAGGTTGATTTTAATTGCAGAGGCAAGCGTTGAAGGAAGAGGGATTATGAGGATTTTGTGATTATACTGTTTTGACATGGTAATTCACGTGGTTGGAATTGAATTAAATTTTGGTGTTTGTGTTATACAGAGTGGATTGCTTATGGTGTGTGCGATTTTGTTGAGAGTAAATATCATATTTGTAGATTTGCTAGGTAGTTTTCAGTTGCATGTCAAGGTTCTCAATCAGTGAATATAGATCAAATCTATTCAGGAGTGTTTGTTTTTGCTGTGATAACTAGGAAGCTGTGATGGTCACAATTTTCTTAAAAAAAAAAGATTCTTATTGAGACACACAAACCGAGTCACATTGTCGCTGTAGTCTTAATATATGGAACTTGAGATGATATGCCGTGATGAGGAGAGCATTTTAAGTGAATAAGATCTTTGGGTAATGTTGAAATTTCAAGGAAAAACCAATTATCTTTAATACAATGTGATGTCATTCAATCATATCATGTGCAACAGAGGAAAATCTCCCTCTGCATCTTTTCTCCTTTGCCTACACTGATATACACAGCCTTCGTCATGTGTATATCTGTGGCTTGTGGACAGGCAATGGCGGTTGTGTACTTAAGTAAATTAGGCCACAAATGAAACCATTTATTTCCATCTAAATTGAAAATGCTTGAGGGTGATTAATTAGGGATACCAAGAGAGAAATGATGGAAAGATAGAATTCTCTTCTATGGCAGTGAAAATTGATAATTTCAACTTATGAATTTACATGAAGATTATTTTATATTATTCTTTCCTGATTTTTCAACATTTCTGAAAATATGAATTCCTTGAAGAATTTGCATAAGTGAGATGCAAATGATTTTATTTTCATGGTGTAAAATATGCACAATGTTTTCTCTGTTGCCACCTGCTTCGACAGTTTCTCTCGTTCATATATTCCACGTCATTCTGGATAATTTTTGCTTTTCAGAGGAACTCAGTGATATGAGAGAGACAGAAAAAATGCATGAAAATTATGTCAAATTAATGGGTTTGGAAGGACAAAACTCGTTTTGGGGACAATTATAGGCTGTAGGCTTTAAACAGTGTAATTTGAGAATATATTGGGAAATAATTTAAATTCCGTATTTTCCTCTCTTTCTCTCTACAGTTCATGACATGCGTCTTAATGCAGGCATAATTCCACTCTAATGCCAACGGATGCATAAAATTCATTGTCAAACTTTTGCGCCAAGCGACGTGTTTAACATGAATCTTAAGTATAGTGCGCCCAACACATGATGTGCATTTGCATTTGCATAAAGTTCTACTCCAGCTGTATAGTTGGGAAATTTCTAATGAGGCCCACAAGGAGACACGATAATAATTTTCTAAATTTATCCATGTTGCTCTTCACAGTTTATATTTAATACATGATGGCATTAATCTCTGTGTATTTCTTGGGAAAGTCGTGAAAAGGTGGGTTTTTTTTCTTGTATCTGAATTGTGTAGTGATTTTGGCATTTGCCTTGACTAATGTCTTGCCAGAGCAACAGTTTATCGTGCAGTCTATTTTTCATAAAACTTGAAGCAGTTTTTCTTTCTTCCGAGTCGTTTATGCCATGATACAGACTTTTCTACTCTTTTTCAATTCAATTTGGTCGAGTGAGATGGCATTTTCTGTCAAGAATACACTTTAAAATTCTTGAGTGTGTGCAAAAGAACACCTGCTTTTCGTGCTCCTCGTGGTGGAAGAATTTGATGTGATAAATCTACCTTTGAAGAAACAAGTCCACTCACTTTCAAACTGATCTTTATGTTTCCTTTTACTTGAATACTGTTGCTGTTCTTCTTCTGCTGTGTGTCTTTTTGCCCATCATTATGAGTGTTTTTTTTTGGGTGAAAAATGCAGGTGCGCACAAGAAGAGAGACGTTCCACTTCTTCCATGTTTGCACACTCTCCTCTTACCTTGTGAGTGTAATGCACTTTTGTGTGGTTGAACATTTTTCCATGGTCTCGTGGAATTTTTCGATCCACTTGAGTGGATTCGAAAGAGAGATATTCGATCTTACAGCTTTAAATGTGTCACTGCAGTGCTGTGATTTTCCAGACAGTTTCTCTGTTTCTCAGATATTATCGTATGTGTAATTTATTCAATGAGTGTCAAACGGTTGTTTCACAGTTCGATGAATCAGTGACGCATCTCACCTGTTTTCTCTCTCTCTCTCTCTTTATCCATTCGAATTCAACATGATGTTTTTCCATGGAAATATGCACTAAATATTCCATCTCGCGTACAAACTGGAAAATATGATGTAAAATGTTATTTTTGGCACAATTATTTATTCAATGCTTCATGGATATTTTTCATCATTGTCCACGCTTCTTTTTTCTCAGCTGTTTTTGTATGAAAAGATTGTGGTGAATCATCAAATTTGTGGTTGAATATTCTGTGTGTGAGTAAGTGTATTTGTTCTGAGAAGACGAGAAGAAGAGATTAACACTTAGCTGCATATTTGACCATTTTTCAACATTTCATATCCGGCTTGTCCGCAGGATGTCTTTGAATGTGTTATCGATGAAATATTGCGTTTTTCCTTGTCAATAACTTCTTACTTGAATTTATTATTGTTCTGAAAGTGTTATTTGCAATAATTTCCACGAAATATGATGGAATATTGCCCAGAGTCTCATGGATAAGACCGAAAAAAATCGATAAAACACGCAAGATATTTATAAATATTAATTGGGAAGTGTGCTATGAGTGAAAAATGCTCACTTAACTTTCACCTTCAGCACTGCAATTTGAAGGTTATGTAATGGTTCAAGGTCGTTGGAAGACTGCGTGCCAAAATAGGAGTTTGCACAATAAATTCCATCTTACTATAGTCAATTGGGAGGCATGATTTCAGTTTTTTTCTTTTATATTTCACTGGAGCGACGATATATTTATAGGTTTAGTGACGGGAATTTATTTCTCGTTGGCGGTGAAGATTTGATAAATTGAAAGAAATTATTTCATTGACAGTCCTTTTTAAAGAGTTCTTGTCAAGTGACTTTAATGTAAAATTGCGCCCAATAAAGTCAACCCTGGCGCACAATGATGACAATATATGGTCACATTTGGATGTTATGTATAGTTTTGGTGTATAAAGACGAAAAGTCATGTCTCCACACATTGCGAGATTCTCCGACCAAAGGATGTGCCAATCTTGTTCCATGAATTTAATTTAGAGTGTGAAGAGAGAACATCACCACCCCCTCAATCAAATGAATTTTATACTTTGTGTTCTCGTGCAATTCACTGTCACACAGTGTTCAGACGATACTTTGTTCATTTGTTCACAAATACACTCTTAAGAGTTTCTGCTAAACAATTTCCTCACATCATTTGTGACGCCTTGTGTATTAATCTTCTTCTTTTTTCGGACAAGAAAGAAAGAGAGAGAGATAGGGAGAAGACACTGAGAAAATATTCTTGAGCAAATAAATAAATAATACCCAACCAACATGGAGATAATTTTTCCATTAAATTCAGATAAATTTTCGCCTCACTCTTCATCCTCCATTTCATCTCTTCATCATGCCACATTTTAAAGTGAGTACACAACACCATGTGAAAAAGTCGTTTCATCCTCAATATTCTCATCAACTTGATTCCTTTTTGCACATTGAATGAAGCTCACCAACAGAGAGCCAAGAACCAACATTAGATATTTCCTTCCATCCAATCGCAATTTTCATCCCAGGCACGCTGCTGCTTGATGTTTTCAAAATATTTATTTTGCACAAGTATATAATTAATGTTGCACGACATTGAGGAATATGCTTTCGCCACTTGAGAAATTGGCTCAGAAATGATGAGAAATTTTGGTGGTTTACTAATTAAATATTGGCTTGGGTGAGATTTTTTTTTTGTGGTAAGAAGATCTCTTTTAGATATAGTAGAAAAAGAAGAGCGATGAAAGGTTGTGACAATGATTATTTTATTGTCTGCGTGTTGGATTTGATAGAGTAAAATTGAATATGGATTATGACATTGTGAAGTTCTTTTTCGGAGAAAACTGAGTTCAGTTGAATAATTAAGAGGGTGTTTCTTAATTAAATTTTCTACGAAATCTGTAAATTTTTTATCACTCTACACTAACAATTCTTTATTTCTCATGTATTTACTGCTTGCGTGGCTCGCTCTCTCTTTATATTGGCTCTGAGGATAAATTGGGGGGTGTATAAAAAATTTATGTGACTATCCTTGCCAATGTCAAAGTCAGAATTTTAATATAAAAGTAACGTATATACTACTTTTTTTACGGGCAAATATATCCTTTGTCATGTGTCCCTCTTGGGATAATAAATTATATTGCTCGCCTTACGTGACGGTTTTTCGTCCTCCAAAAGCACAGAGAGATTTGTTAGTGAATGTTGAGGGTGGAAAAATGGAGGTGAAAACACGTGAAATCGAAACTATAGTAATTATTTCCAATTGAAGTGTTTTTGTGGCATTAAAATTAGGCAAAGTGAAAGGAAGTTTTGAACATGAAAATAAACTAAATTAGATTTGTAATTGAATTTGAGAGAAAGTTGGGAAAATTTGTCATCATGCACACAATAAAGATAAAAAAAAATGATCATAAAATATAGTATTTCCTCAATGTCATCTATTACACAAGGCGGCATAATTTTTTTTCTCTCTCTTTTTCGCAAAATGAGACGATGCGTGGAGGAAGGATTTTACCATGTGAAATAAATCACAGTGAAGCTAATAGGAAAATTTGTATGAATGAATGAATGAAAAATTGAGAGAAAAATTGGATAGGAGAGGAATTTTCCGGGATATGTGTGCGTGTGTGTGGAAAGAATGTGTATATGAGCCTGTTGCGAATATCTCTGAGATGGAATAAATTTGCTTCATAAATCAATTTAACATCCACCCTTGATATAAGTTGTCCCCTTATTTTCTTTAGACATATGCTAAGAAATCACATTCAATTTCCTTCTACACTTCCGCATCATTTCACCATGAATGGCGTTGTGTTGAGAGAGAAATTTCCCATGAAGACAATTCATCTTGACAATTTTTTTTATTTCTTGAGAATTGTGGGGAGAGGAAAAATGGGGAAGAAGGATAAAAAAATCAGTACAAAATGACATTTATTCTCATGAAAAGTTGATATATAGAGAGTGATTTAAAACGGGGAAATAATTATTTAATTGCAATTTAATGTGGATTAATTACAATGGAACGTAAACAATTGTGTATGGAAATGTGTGTCAATTAACCGTGTGACACATTAATTAATCTCATTGACGGCGGTTTTGTGAGGTAAAGATACACAAGAGTGTGTCTATTTTCACCGTGAAAATGTTACCGAAATGACTTTGAGATGGTGCGCAAAGAGGGACAAATGAGATTACATGAAAAGTTTGTTTGCAGAGAAATTGCACAATCTATTGTCTTCATTAGCATAATCGTGTGGCTTTTTCAGTTTTACGTCTGATCTAATTAGATGGAAAATTGCACAATTCTGCGCTTGGGAAGAGATTGAGTAGATATATTCTTGATAAGATAAGACAAAAGGGCATGAATTTAGATCATAGCCTCAATGGGAGATTCCATGGTTTCGCGGTTTTTGTGGTGTTGGCGAGAGATAGAAAGAGAGAGAGAGTCTATCACAGCAATGAATAATATTGGAATTTATACAAATTGAAAGGGTATTGATTTAGAATATCTCGCGAGAGTGCCGTTTTTTTTTCTCGCAGAATATAAATTGATTCAATTTTCTCTCCGTCATTGAATATTTATTCAAATTTCATGCCTTTTTTTCCTATCAGAAACGGATTTGCCTGTATTTATTTTTTCATTCTTTCTTCTCTTGTGATGCGTTGTTTTTATTTGAAAATAAAGTTTTATTTTGGCATTGTTTACCGCCAATACGTAATCTATTGGAGTCGTCCCAACGCCACACGATGGATCTTGAATAATTTATATTCCCACTTTTGATTCGAGCGTGTCTGGGCTGTGGAATGAAAGAGGGACGTGTTGATGGAAAATACTATACACAAAAATATAAAATGGAGTTTTCCTCTCTGGATTTTGTTCCTTTGCATCTCACAAAATGTAAACAGATTTGTTATCTCTTCTTGTGTGTTGGGGTCATTTAGATGATTTTTCCTCTCATTGTGAGTTGATGGTGTGAATTCTTTATTGAAATGTAATTGAATGTTTCATCATCTGTGAAATTTGCTGAGTTTGATGAGTCTCTGAGAGAAAAAGGAGTGTGTTTAATGAGAGCTGATGAATTTTTCTTCTTTTTCATTTCGTTTGCTTCACAGTGAACTAATTTTCACTGTATTTTTTTCTTCTTCTTTTCGTTGATGATTCACAAATACAAGAAGAATTAAAAAAAAAATCACACTCGTATTGATTTGCAATTAAAGTGGGCGGAATTGGAATTGTGATTCTGAGGTGTGAAGATGTTGAATCAGCAGAAATTTCTCAAGGTTTTCTTCTTTCTGCGTTGAGACACAATAGATTGTTGTGTATTTTATTGTTTTTTACTTGCCGATTACCATCGGTGTCTTGTAATTACAACGTATCAATGTCGTTTCACTTGGGTGCATTTGTAGAGATTTTCTCTCTTTCCTTTCAATTGCACAAATTTTGTTTGACTTTTTTTCCTTTCTCTCTGCTTATATATATTTAGGTTTTAGTATTGCAATAGATAACCAATTGGGTGTAATTAATAGAATTCTCAATCGATTAGTCAACTTCGAGTGCAAACTAATCTTCTCATTACTTTTCCAATGTTCTTCTTTTCACATGATAGTTAAGAAGCGGGAAAATTTATTGGCAGCAATTAACGGAGAGGATGTTTCCTCTCTCTGGCACGAGAGAAAACTATCGAGGGAAAATGATCGGACTGAAGTTGAAATGAAGAGAGAGAGACGGAAAGAGTCAATATAAATCGATTATTATTTATTACACTATCACTTTCGACACATTCTCTACTCGTAGACAATTCATGTCTATTCATGACACTATTATTGCAAAAATGATGGTTGACAAATTTAAAGCTTTACTTCCCGGAAAGTTAGTGCCCAGAAGCCATTGTCTGGGAAAGTGTAGGGTGAATTTATCATGTTACATTTGAGTTGAAATGGCCATTAATTTGGCAAAAGTTTATCAGTTCTCGTATAGAATTTAACTAGAGTCAGAGACTCACCCTGACAATTACAAGTTTACCAATGCTACTCTACCGAGAGTAATGCTGCCCAATTATTGGGTTGGGTGAGAGTTTATATTTATTTGAATTTAATGAGAGTTTTTCCTAGATATTTTGGGAGAGTTTGGTAAATGACTTTTTATCAAATTAATTAACCCTTCGCACTGTGAAAGATGCCTGAATGTTTTTTTGTGTATGTTCTTATTCACCTTTCTTTTTGTGTGATGGGAAATTAATTTGCTGCGTGGGAGATAATTATGGAAGGATTTTCTTGGTGTGTCGTTTTTTTGCCTTCAAGACATTAAGAGTATTAAATCGATTTTACTCGTTTTTTTTTCTTCCTAAGCCCCTTTTTCGTGTCAACTTCCAGTATTCTGTTTATTGTGGATGATTTATAGGGGTGGAAAATTTTCAGGGGGTGGTAAATGAAGAATTTTCAACATTTTTTTCTTCTTCTCCAATTGTCTCCAAATGAGTTACAGAGAAAAAGTACGAGAGGGAAAAGTTTTATTTTCCTCTCCTTTTGCCATGATTTATGCACGTGACACAGATAAATATTTCAGTGATTCACGAGAGGGAGTGGAAAAAAAGGGATACACACGCAGACACGGGAGAAAATGAGTGAAAATAGATGACAGTGGAAAGAGAGAGAGAGAGTAAAAGACAATAGTAAATAAAAAAAAAGAACAGAAGGACAAATAGTGAGAATCAGAATGTATGAAGTGGCCCCAGTGGCTGGCAATAAAGTTGAAGCTGCTTGTGCTCTGAGAAGTCTCCAGCAGATCATGGGTCAGATATCGAGTAGTCATGGGAGTGGCGGGAAGAAGTCGTCCAAGTACAGGAGTTCTGCTGTGCCAAGTGGTGCCAGAATTAAGGATGACATCTACAGGGAACACCTGTACAACAAGGGCAAGGACAGTGTGAGGGTGAAGGAGATGTCCGGTCGCCCGGTGACGATTAGTGAGATGAATGCATACAATATTGAGAAGGATAAGGATAAACTGCCGGTGGATCAGGAAATACTCAGGAATTCAATGCAGCCAAATCACAGGGAGTTCTTCAGCGTTGGCGAGGGATATCACAAGACAGACAATTGCTACTACAAAACACCAGACGGTGGATATCACAAACTGCCACAGGACTCTTTTCACAAGACATCCGAAGGGTGTTATGTGAAGCTGGCCGATGGGAGCTTCAGGAGGTTGGATGAGGTGAAGGCGGTTGCCAAGGAGGCGGCAGGATCTGGTGACTCGTCGGTGAGCAGTCAGAGTCGCTATAAGAATCAGATGATGAGATTCCTGCGGAGATCCAAGAGTCACACGCCAGGGACAATCAAGGAGATGCAGAAGGAGAAGGCGGTGGCGCAGAATGTTAACACCACGGCGGGCAATCAGAACCGCCGCGTGATGGTGACAATGATGGACGGCGGATTGCCTGTGGTGGCAACCAGCAAGCAGCCCGACTACCATCGTCCGACGAAGGTGAAGGAGCGCAGTAAGGATGCCAAAGGCAAGGAGTTGAAGCACAAGGTAAAGATAAAGAGGAATTTGATATACATCTGCAGACATTTAATTAAGATGCAAAGAGGATAAGAGAGAGTCACAGCAGAAGTTGTTGGCAACATTTTTATAGATGAAAAATCACAGGAATTTGCCAAGATGTCATATCAAAATTATACTGAGTCTTGTGCTATGTTTATTAATCTTATTGATTAAAACATTGCGGTGACTAATGTGTCGAATTTGAGTAAATCAATAATAATGATATTAATGCAAGATGAACTTCTGAAGCAACCACTGCAAATGGGTCAAGTGTGAGGGACGACTTATACTCTATTAATTCATTAGTCCAATTGAGTGTAGAATTGGAATAAAAATTATACTTAGCCAGACATCCTTCGGCCAAAATCCATAGACTATCTCTTGATACTCCTTGATGTATTAGGGAGGGGTCATTGAGAGGATTTTTTTGCCTGAAATCCCTGAGGCGGCTTTTTGTTTGGTTGTCCTTTCAATTTGCCGTCTTAAGATGATTTTCTTATCCGGAGTTTTGTGTAATTGATAGGGTAATTGACAATGTAATGGGGACAAGGCTTGAGCTGAGGATAATCTTATATATCTCCATGTAATGAATGACGAATTAAGAGTGGAAAGAGTGAGAGAGAGAGAGAGAAAGCAAGTCTTTAAAGGGTTTAATTTTGCCTGAAAAATTTAAATTGGTGATTGATAGATGTCACTGTGACAGTTTTAGGGAGTTAATTTCCTTTTTCCACACGCCACAAAAACCTGCAATTATGGTTGAATTAACCATGTTTGCATAATGTGTGTGTGTGTGTGGGAAAATGTTTGATGGAAATCAATTGCAAAAGTGAATCTAACTGATGGTGTAGAAGACGTAATTTGAGAGATTGCTAAATGATATTTGCCTCACGCGAGAGATTCTGCGATACCATCAAAAGGCTCACAGAGAGACTCAGAAAAGTGTAATCATTTATCTTAGAGACTGAGCTTTTTTTCCCACCATTGCCAGTCAAAGCTTTCCATGTCATTCTCTCTCACTCACGCGTCTTCTTCTTCTTTTTTTTCTTTTGCCCTCGCCATTTATCTCTTTTTCATCGCGTCTGAAGGCGATACTGTGGCGTGATGTGTATGTTTGAGAGAGATTATCTCAAATACAGCAAATTCCTTGACGTGTGGGAGAAGGCGGGAAATTGGTGGTTTGTATGTGTGTAGTGTGCTTTTTGAATTGTTCCTTCCTCAATAGATGGAGTTGGGGGGCGCATGTGAGTGAAAATGAGAGAGAGAGAGTGAGAGAGAGAACAGAGTTGGGTAATTTGTTTGATGGGCAATCAGGCGAACGAGAAAGTAACCTTTTTATTGTTACTGATAATCCCGAGAACAGAAAAAAGGGGAATGAGTTGGGGAGTGAGACAGAAAGAGATATGTATACATGTAGGGGAGAATTAGGGCCATTTGTGGGTTGAAATTGCGAACAGAGATGGATCAAGATTTGCGCATGTAAATTTCAACTCTGATTAAATTTCCATTTGTATCGTCTTGAGAGTGTTTTGGGCAAATTTATGCTATTGACAGTGATAAGATGGGATTTTCTCCCACAGTCTTCTTCGCACATTTTGTCGCTTCTGTTAAGATGGTGGGAAAAGAAGAAGAATATTCTGTTGTCACGAAGCACTTTTTGGGCAATTGTTTAGGATTTTCATAGACGTACTTTCAGCAAGAATTGATTGTGTTCTTTATATAGTCGATGACACAAATGTGTGTATATATTCACTGGCCAAATTGAATTACTCACACTCGTCACGCCAGGCGTTTGACAATGTTTTCCACCCACAATAAATAAAAAATTATCATATGCCTCACATTCTATGGAGAACATGTAATTTAATGAAACACTCCATGTAGTGGAAAAGAACGTGACATACACGAAATCCCAGGGAAGGCTGATATTTGAATTATTGAGGATTATGATGGGGACGCACGATGATTGATTGTGGGGATTTTTCAAGGATAACTTGGGTATTTTATTTCTGGACTTTAGCACACACACACACACGAGAGAGTCCTCATGAATAGAATGTGTGTTTTGTGTGTTCTGTGAGGCGGAAGAATTGCTACAAATGCGGGTTAAGTAGGAGTTTATGCGAAATTTGGGATATTTCAATTCATATCTATTCTGAAATGATTAAAGGGACTTATGAACTGATTTTTGATTTCTCTTTCTTACTAATTTTATGATTCTACATAATATTTTCTCTCTTGATTCTTCTATTAAATCAGAAAATGTTAATAATTTCAAGTGATGCTTTAGAAAATCTGCTTTCAAACATATAAATAGTACAAAAGAATTATATTTACCACATTTTATTTACATGTACTTTCAGTGAAAATGTAATTAATTCTGTTACAGAACACAATTGTTATGCCAGGATAAAAATGACCACATATTACTGTTTTTGAATGCGAGAAATCAATTAACTCTTCCAATATATTTCATGTTTTTTTCCGGAATGTTGTCAAAAGAATTCATCTGAAAGCAACAATTTATTCGTTCATGCAATTCAACTAATTGCAGTGAGTGTTGATGATGAAAAGCGTGTCGTTAGGAGAGAGAAAGTTGGAAAATATGTGACAGAATTGTATTTTGGCCTATTTTTTTTATTTGGTAAATGAAGCAATTATTACATTCTATAGTGAGTGAATTTTACCCAGTGAGAAATTATATTGTGGTGTTTTTTTTTGTCACTAACATCAATTAACTCATGTTCTACCATTGAAAGGGAATAAATTCTCAACTGTCCATAAATCATGTCTGAGAGTGGGAGTGAAAATGACTGAATGTGTGTGTGTGTGTGTGTCGAGTGTATTTGATCTTTGAAATTCAACCGACAACACATGGAGTGTTATTGCGGAGCTTTTCATATTTGATTTATCCCTAAAATATGCAATACTTTTGCGCACTCTTTAAGCACACGCAAAGCATGATTTTGTTGGGTACAAGAAGAGTTGTGCGCTTATTTACTGTGTTGTAGCAAAGTGTTTTTGGGGAGTGCTTTAAAATTGACAAGAAAATCTTAAAGAGACTCTTCGGGGAGGGTTTTTTTTCTGTGGGTTGTCGTACAGAAAAAGCTCGTCAAGTTTCGATTTTTCTCACGAGCGGAAATGAATTTAAAATTTTCCCCTCACCCTCAATAAATTCTCCTTTCATTGGAAATTGTTGCCAAAATAGCAGATTGAATTTTCTATTTGGAGGAAAGTGAGTGAGTTTGTGTGTGTGTGTGTGCTTAAATTTGGTGAGACATTATTTGAAATTTTATGTGGGTGATTTGATGGTGTGGGTGGGGGAGGAAGGTGGAGCTTTCGCAGGAGTAGCTGGCAACTTCCTGTGCTTGGGTGTGGGGGGGGACGTAATATTCATCCTGAATGTTAAAACGGTGTCTTCTTTTACGAGTGGTGCGTGTGACAGGAGGACCGGCGTCATGGGAGAAATTAAATTGTCATAAATTTTCCACTGTGTGCAGGGATAGAGATTTAGTTGTAATCTCGAAATTTGCTCTTTTTCTCCATATCACTCGTGTCTTGAATTGATAATGGGCTGCTGAAGTGAAGTGTGGAGAGAGGAAGAATGGGTATAATTAGGTTTAGCCCGGTTGAATGTCTTTTCTATCACCTTTTCATGATGGTGTTGTTTTTTTGAATGTTGTATCTTATATTCCCTGTGCGTTGGTATGTGGGGAGGGAATTGAGGAGACCAGAGAGAAGAGGTGTGTTATGGAGGAAAATGAGAGGCAATAGTTGTGAATTTTTCAAGTTCGTCTTATCAAAGGGAAATTAAGTTTTTTTTTAAGACAATTTTATAACCTAAACATATTCATAGAGCAAATTTGGCATCTTCTTTCTGCCAATAGGATGAGCCCCTTTAGTGTCAAATTTGATTATCTCACTAATGCCACATTATTACAATTTTATGGTCTTCTTTTCGGGACACATGAATAATCTAAATTATTTGTTTTTTTTTTCTCCCTCATGAGCGAAATTCACCCACATGAAATTGACATTAGAGAAGAATCTCATAGGCACACAGTACAGGAGTGAGTGAGATAGAATGTTGTCTTGTGTCAATTTTATTCCCATTTTTATGCCACCGTCGCTTCTTCATCTTCTCTTCCTTCATATACATATATACACACAATCATGGACAAAGTATAATTCCATCGCAGTCTGACTCTCATATGGAATTTCGTATATTTGCAGCATTTGCTCATTTTCTTTCCGTTTCCACTTGGCTAATTTCTATGCCTCTCGAAAGGCATTATCATCATCATTTTGGCCGATGAATCCCGCAATGATGACTCACAGATTGCCAAGAGTCTGGCTTGGTTGTGTGTTGTGCTTTCTCCGTTCTCTTTGGATGTCTCTTTTCTCTGTCTTTTCGCTATTGGTCATCATTCTGAGAGATGTTTCCTCTTGCTTTATTGTATAATTTTCCAACCAGTGCGACTACCGCTACATTTCCTCCCACGAATGTGTGTTGAAGAGCAGAGAGAGAGAGGGGATCATAATGAGGTACTCGTGCAATTAATTTGTAATTCAGAAGAATTATATTAGAAAGAGAGACAGAGAAGCGTATGATTTCTTTCATTTTTGCCGAAGAATCTGCGCTTTGGAGATGTTCTTTGAGAAAAATTCCATTTCGACCTTTATTTCACTGGAGAGTGAATATATAGTGAAATCTTTTGCGGTTCTTGCCTCTGTGAGTTTTGCAACAATTTGATCAACCTTGATATGTAGTGAAGGTTTCTCATGTTTAGTCACACTGCCGCTAAATATAATTAGGACACTTTGGGGGCATGAAAACAACAGTCGTCCTCCACGGTTAATGATGGAGAAGTACACAGGAAATTGCTGTGAAAAAATAATGAAAAAAAACGGCCAATATATTTCCTTTCATTCACTTGAATTTTGTATGAATTTGATAAAGAATTGTTGATAAGGAAATGCTGGAAAATTGGTGTGAGTCAGTCTTGATATTTCTTGAAGTCAAAATTTCAAATATTGTCGATGCGCCTGAAAGACTTCGCACACAACACTAATGAAAAATGCTTGGTGTTTTTTTTTTCTTTCATTCATACTCATTCGTCTGCAGTTGAAGTGGTGAGATTGAGAAAAAGAGAGAAAATTTACACACAAATGTTAGTTGAATAAGTTTGAAATCTTCACTCGTTACCGTTTCATATTTATTACTCATTCAGTTGGTTTTTGCCAAGACATGGTGTCTCAATTTCACATGCAAAGTGTTTGAGGAAATTTTGGGATATTCTTAGAAGTGCTTACTTAATTTAAGAAGCTTTGAATATCTTTTATCAACCACAGCAAAAGAAAATGTTGAAAACAGTACCAAATGCAAAAAAGTGACATGCAACAATTTCTTGATTACCCTGTGATTCACTTGAGGTGTATCTGGGTTGTGTTTGTGTATGAAATTAATTCACCTGTGTGTTGGAGCTTTTTTTTCCTTCTTCTTCTGCTTCTGCTGCTCCGATGTGGGCAAAGTGGGAGGCAAGAGGAAAATATACTAAAGGTAACACAGTCAGTGGAAAAAAGAACACTCGAGGCGGCAGTATACGATGAAATAAGCGTGAAAAGAACACGATAAATTTTCATTCCACTTGTGTGTTTCCACTGTTCTTTCCCACTTTGTTGAACACTTTTGCTGCAATTTTTCCAACCTCGGGGTCTTCAGGAAGCGAATCCTCTTCTTCTTCCTTCACCATGAAAAGCAAGGGTGACTGTTGTAAAAGCGAAAAAGTGACGTGTATTTTCATGTGAAGGAGTAAAAAAAAAGGAAGAAGGAGAAAAGAAAAAAACACAGAGTGAAATGTAAAATATAACATGGATAAACCTTTCACAATTTAATTAATTTGTGATGTGAAGATACTTTTTGTTTGAAAATATAGCATTCAAATTGCAACTGTCTCTTAGTGTCAAAGCCACGTCAATGTAGATGAATTAAGGATTGTGCAGTAATACAATAATTCCCTGATAAAGTGTCACGCGGAGTAATAAAATAATAATAAGCGCGCGCGCGGCTTATAAAAATTCATATATAAAGTGATACACAAAGTGTGTACTTTTTTTCTTTGCAATTGAATAGGGTGGGCTTTTGAGAAAGCCAATTAACCCATACATATTTTTTCTCTCACTCGGAAAGTGCTTGTCCGCGTGAATGGAAGGTGAAAAGTCGGATAACAAAGAGATTGCTTAGGTGTGATTATAGAGGAGAGCTGGGAAAAAGTACACACATTTATAAGACAAATAAGAGGAGAGAAAGATAATTCAAATTGAAAGGAAAAAAAGATTTCCCGCATTCGAGAGAGTGTGTATATGTGTGAAAATGTGTTATCTTCTAAGCTGATATCAGTTGGAAATGTCAAAAGACTGACAAGATACGGTAGTTGAGCTTTTTTGTGGGTTGCTTTGCAGTGTTGTCCGATCATTAGGTTGGGTGAGGAGCGCATATTTTCACCTGTGTGTTTTCCAGCCAGCCATTTAATGTTTTCGAACTTATTTGTCGGAGGAGAAAATTTCGTGGTGAAATGTCACGGTGACAGGAGAGCTGCAAAGCCACGGGAAACATCTTGTTGTCCAGCCACAAGAGCTTCATTGTGATATTTGAAGGAATATCATCCAACTGTCAACTTATATATCCAAACCATCTTCTCAATTTTTCTATTGCAGCAACACTGAAAACACAGAGAAGAAAAGAAAAGGAACAGAAACAAGCTCTGTGCCTCTCTTGAAAGACTGTGTGTGTGTGTTTCTGTGAAAAAGAGTGAAATTAGAGACAGTTTTTCGGACTGCTTTTTCCCTCTGTGAGCACAGCAACAGGTGACACATTGAAAAATTGATAAGAAGCCATCTTATCAAGTTGATATGGCGGAGAGTCAACATCGCCGTCTGTACGAGTGACAAGAGGAAGGTGACACTGCCGGAGAGTTTTGATTTGATTTGCCGACCACAGAGAATAGCAGTGCGTTCTGCAATGTGAGTGCGCGCGATCCTTGATTTCAGCCAAGGAGACGCGATCAGTGCCAGTGTGGAGGTACATATATTTGTCGTGAGTGCGAACCGAGCCGAGAGTGGGTGGTTGTTGCGACAAGAGAGACGACTGGTTTCCTACTCTCTTCCATATTTATTGACATAATAGCCATGAGAGAGTGGCTTAGGATACAGTGGCGATTGTGTGAATAGAGACAAATAGCCCACACACATAAAAGTGACGGCGATTAAAGCCTTTCATTGCTAAATTTATTTTCTCTTCCGTCTGCAAATTACATGACAAATTAATAATTACATTGAAATATAAACACTGAACAGAGAAAGAGAGAAAAAGAGAAGAATTGAATGTCTCGTCTTGGGATTTATTAAATTCCCAAATCAGTTTGTGATTAGATTATATTTTGAAAGTATACGATAATTTTGATTTTGATGCGGGTGTGTCAATTTCTCTGATCGTCACTGTCCATACATCGATGAATTTGAAATCAGTTACAAAATAGCCACAAGTCAATAAAATACTTGTACACGTATTTGAAGGCATTGTTGAGTGAAAGAGGTAACATATACCGTTTGTCACATCGACCAACACACTCAGTTCGTGTCCACAGAAGCAACTCGACTCCAGTGCACGTTCAGATGCGGAGTCCAATTGACTAATTATATTATTGGTGAAGAAGAGAAAAGCAAGGAAGAGAAAAAAAAAACAGAAAAGAGAGTGTGTTTTCGGGTTGAAGCAATGGAGTCGGACCTGAAGCGTGGCATTGACATTAGACGGAGTATTCACAAGAGAAAAGCACCGGCTCCGCCATCATCAGCCGCCGATGATGTGATGGCGGAGTTGAATTTGCGGAATACACTCAAGAGTGGTGGGCCTCCGGTGCAGCCGCGAAGGCAAGTGATGACTGGTGACCGAAGCAGGGATCCTTCGGGACATCGTGGTGTGGATATTAAGGAGAATTATAGCCTGAAGTTGAGTGATTTGGAGTGCAAGACGAGGAATTATGTGAGTGTGGAGAGGAAACCGCCGGCGCCGCAGCCACCGAAGGCGGAGAGTGGAGATGATCCCATGCTGACCAGTATTGATGTGCTGAACAAGCTGCAGAAGCAGATCAATGACATGGAGGTGTATGCGAAGATGAATCCTGTGAAGGCGGAGGACGTCGTGGACAAGGGTGGCCGGAGTGGGCGATATCAGGAGCATGAGAACCTCTTGCAGACGGGAATTAGCAATATTGCCTCGAGACAGGGATTGGGCTATCTGAATCGCGGTGATGCGGAAACTGATGATGATGAGGAGAGCATGCGTCCGGTGGAGTTTAAGCGTGGCGGTGATGCACGGAATTCAACGGGAGGCGCTCTGGGAATTGCCTCGAAGTTTCTGCCCAAGACGAAGATGGCAAAACCGGTGAATAGAACGGCGTCAGACACAAAGAATGTGGAGAACACGGTGAAGATGATTCGGGCGGGCCTGAAGAAGGGCCCGGCACCGCTGGAGCCCTCAGCGACGCGCAAGACCACCAAAGAGGAGTCTGTGATTCTGCACACACATCACGCCGACAGACCGCCGAGGGTGGTGGGTGTGAATGAGAAGCAGCAGAGTCCTCTGCCGCTGCGACATCAGGTCTCACCATCGCCCACACCATCAGCTGGAGCGCCGCACAAGCGATCTGACCATCAGGTAACCTTTCAAGGGTGGTGAGGGTGAGTGGCAGCTCCTCGAGTGGTGTGTGAAATGGCGAGAAAAATCACAGCAATTTCCTCGGGCCATTGTTATTTGTGACAAATACGCTATTAATTTGGGGAGAATTCTGTGGGACAGCAGAGAAACTGAGAAAGAGAGAGAGAAATCTTGTTACCCAATGTCCAGCAGTGTGTGAAAATGGAGGGAAATTTATATAAATTGCCCACTCATATCTGTCCCTCTATTCGACACATTAACTCACACGATAGATTTTTACAAGCGTGGTGGTTTTCGCACAGAGTGTGGCCACGGCAGATTAGAGCATATCGTGGATTTCTCAAGTTGATACAAGAGCTTGTTATCGCAATGGCTCTCTGATATCGGCGTTGTGCTGAAGCGGAGAGTATAATTACTGTGAATTCTGACGACTTTCAATTGCGGAAATTGATAAAATCAAAACAAATGCGAAATTGGTTGCGTAATGCTGCTTCCCAAGAATGAGTAGATTTTTGATATATTGATTTTAGGACGAAAAAAGGCGTGAAATAAAATAACTGACATGACTTTAATTTCTTGATATTCTACGAGGAGAGCAATTTTTAAAGAAAAATAAAGGTTTTCTTGATTAGTATGTAGATTATCAGAAAATATTTTATCTTACTAATGACGTTTGTCTATCTATGAACGCCTTTTTTGTTCTGTTTCAAAATAAGGCATTTCTGCATATTTTTTAAAAATAATTCTCAAGAAAAATCTTTCGTATTTCTCCATGCTTGAAAAAGGAACATTTGCTAATATCTGCAGTTACTCTTTATATTTTGCTCTTTAACCTTTTCTCTCTCTCTCTCTCTCTCTCTCTCTCTCTCTATCTATCTTTTTTTCTCTAATTTCTGTGAACGGCAAATTTGTCAATTTAACAATTTCAGAGGCGATGAAAGTAGGGAAATTTCATATTTCTCGGTTAGATGGACAATGTCCGGAGTGGAAATTGGATTTTATATCTTTGCCTCTCTTTATTGGTGGGTCCGTGTGTCTCATGGGTCATATAAAAGGTGACGACATGAACGTGTATGGATTACAATGGTGAAGATGTGTACTGTTTTCTTTTATACCATTCCTAGGCCCATTTTTTCTTATCTCTCATTTTCCCATGTTATTTAGTGTTCTCAGTGCGACGCCGTCTCTGTATTTGTGCCAGTGCGTGTGTGACAAGATTTTCTCACTGCGCCACATTTATCTCCATGATGGCAATAATTGGTGTCTATCTTCTTCTCAGATTTCGCTGAATCTCACCAATTTTTCCCACAATTCTCCACCTGGAGTTTTGTGATTATTTTATCTCTCTCTCTCTCTGTCTCTAGAGAGTGAGAGAAGGTGAATAACTTCATCTTTTGGTTGTGTGATGAAGAAATTGCATGATTTTCGAGATGCGTTGTGATAAAAATTCATGAAAGAAGAACCTTTTCCCGCAGTTTTCTGGATAATTCCCCTTTTGACACTGTCCTCGTGAATTATTCAGGAGAGGACGAGAGGTGCTTTTTTGTTTTAGGACACTGTCCGGGGAGAGGGCATATAGTAAAAGAAGAATGCCTGTCAATTTGATAGAAGAAAAAGAGATGAAATCTCACAAGTTTTGTCATTTTTATCCACTTCACCGTGACCCTTTCTTTTATCTCTTGAGACAATTTCAATGCCTTTCCCTGCGGCGAGGGTAATTATTTGGCTAATTTTCCTGTGAAAAGGGTCGCTCTTGGGCTCTTGAATTCCATCATCGTCTGTCGTGTTGAATTTCCCAGGGATGAGATATTTTGAGATGGGGATAAAAAGTGTCGTCATGAGATATTGACAGTCTCCTTTTGACTCCTTGTCTCTCTTCCTCTCTCTCTCTCTCTCTCTCTCTCTCTCTCTCTCTCTCACTCTATCTCTCTATCTCTGAGTGTGGATGAGAAAGAGGGACATATTTTGACATTAAAGTCATTCTAATTTCTTCCATTTGCCCCGCACTTTTGTGTCTTCACTTGTAATATCGCGCCCACGGAAAAGTTTGAGGGACTTGAGAAAATGCCTAAATTGGTCTTTTTGTGTGTCCTCATCCTTTTTTCCTTTAATTCCATTCGCACTTGACTTCTCCATCTGGATTTTCTTATGCTTAAACTGTCGACGAATGTTTCTTCCTTTGCCATATTGCTGTTTTTTTTCTTTTGGGTGACACAAATCCCAAGGACAATTTCACCTTTTCTCAGACTCGCGGATGCTTAAGGAACGGAGTGAATTAATTCAATTGAGGAAAATTGTTGCTTTTGCTGGAGAAAAACGGAGGACTGATGACTTCAATATTTAGTCCAATTACTCGTTTTCTTTGGCGGGGAAGAATGGGAGAGAAAATAATTTCTCCAGTCATTTAATTTGGAGACCAGAGAGTTTTGGGTGACTTTAAGGAATGATGATGAGGGGGAATGTTAAATGCTTTTATCTCTTAAAGAAGTCTACTTGTCTAAGATGTTTAGATGAAAAACATAGATGAAAAATATCCGTAGGCAATTTTGTCTGACTTTTGTGTACACTTCAGAAAAACCATTTGGGAAAGCCTAATCAACGAAAATGTTGTATGAATATTTTATGGTGAAAATGTGTTAAAAGGTCAAAAATTGTTTCGTCAAGATTTTGCTCAAAATTCCACTCGAAACCGAGAATGTGTTGTTAAGAATATAAGACAATATTTTTAAATATAGCATCTTATGTTTATTTTTGGGAAAATAATATTCTTATTTATTTTTATCTTTGTCATAAGAGGTGGGAAAATCATCCTCCATTACTTTTTAATATGAATATGAAAGGATTATTAATAGATTTTCCGGGGTTTTGGAAAAAGGTGTGCGTGTGTTGAGGACTGTTGAGTGATTTCCATCTTCACAACTTCTTAATTGATTTCTCCAGGACTGAGTGGGATTCTCAAAAGGTTAAACGTGCAAGTGACATTACCATTTTGGGTGATCAATTGGGAGAAAAGAGGTCAAAGGGCTGCGATGTTGTCGTCGTGAAGTGTAGAGAGGAAATCTGACTGACATTCCGCCTACACTTACAATCGCTAATCCACTTACAAATGTGTGATAATGTGACTTGAATTGATTAGTTGAATGTCAGAGTGATGAAAGTTTCACTGAAAAGTTTAATATATTTATTGCCTTTCGTCTCTTATCAGATGGAAAATTTTCATTAGAATATTTGTCTGAGAATGTTTTGGGAAATTGGCGGTGTAGAAGTTTGCCAATTTCCTAAATATTTGCTTTGAATTTATAATATGAAATATTATATTCATCATGTTATGAAGCATAATGAGAGTTGAAAATATATTTATGGAATATTTTCCATGAGGAACATATGAAGGGAGAATTAGTGTTATGAGGGAAAAGTGTTGTGTTTTTGATCAGTTTTCTTTCTAAGGAAAATGTCTCCAACTTTGACTTAACTATGTGTTAAGATAATACACAGAAGAACTTAGCAATTACTTAAGAAAGTTGAATTTTCTGAACAGAGCCTGATAACCACGCCTGATTTGGCGAAAATCATGCATCGATAATATATTGTATGTTGTCTTTTCAGGGCTCCCCTAATATGCAACTCCGCAGTGGTGTGCCGTCACGATGGCGTCCAGCGGAGGAGCACATTGGCAAGTATAAGTTGCTGAAGACGATTGGCAAGGGAAACTTTGCGAAGGTGAAGCTGGCCAAACATGTACCCACCGGCAAGGAGGTTGCCATAAAGATCATTGACAAGACACAGCTGAATCCTGGTTCGCTGCAGAAGTTGTTCCGCGAGGTGAGAATCATGAAGATGCTGGATCACCCAAACATCGTGAAGCTGTTTCAGGTGATTGAGACGGAGAAGACACTGTATTTGGTGATGGAATATGCGTCCGGTGGTGAAGTCTTTGACTATCTCGTCCTCCATGGGCGCATGAAGGAGAAGGAGGCGCGTGCGAAATTTCGACAAATTGTCTCAGCAGTTCAGTACTGTCATCAAAAGCGAATTATTCACAGGTGAGTGATTTGTGCTGGCACACTTTCTCAACGGTGTGTGTGGATTCTCCCTTTTTCTCCCTCCCCTCCCTGCGTTCACTATAGAGGGCAAATTGGAATTAAATTTACTGTGAGGGTGGGTGGATGGATGAAGAAGAAGAAGAGGGACGTGGAAGTTCAATTTACAATTTTAGCGTCGCACATCATGGTTGAAATTCAATAATTCACGTGATGGCGTGAATGGTGGAAGTTGAAAAGGACGAAGGAGGGACAATTGTATTTAAAATACTCCGTCAAATGGTATAAAATTGCTGGGAAATTGAAAATGTCTTGATGAAAAATTGATCACAAGTATTGAATTCTAATTATAAAGTCGTTCATATTGTATTGATCTCAACGAGTTGAATTAGATGAATTTTTCATGTAGTTTGTAAAACATTCTATAAATGTCATTGGAAGTGTGTGTGTATATTATCAACAGAATAAGCTATAGTTATTGTTAAATTGAAGCTGAGAAATGATATATTTATAGCATAGCTCTCGTTTGACTAATTTGTAATTCATGTAATATAATTAAATCAAGCAAATTATATTTGCTATGCATCTCAACACTGCCACTACAAATTACATTTGTCAGGCAAATATTGGATTTCAAACATTTTGGAGAGCTCTTCCGCTTTGAATTTCAATGCGATTTTGAGCATTGTTTGAAGGTTCTGTGTGGTCAACACAGATAACATAGAATTTGTATTGATTCATGAGACTGTTGAAATTTGTGACTTCCAACGTGAAATATGCGAACCTTCTCGCTTCCTATCTGCAGATGGATGATATTTGGTGTTTGTCGATTGGAGGATTCTCATTGAAAATCTTCCAAATTGACACAATTTATAACTGATAAATGAATGTGGAGTAAATATGACTGAAACTGTTGGGAAATTTAATTAACTTGGGTGTTGCTTGTTTGGGTTTTAGACGTGTTGACGTGTGTAAATTGACATTTTGCATTTTGGAAATGGAACATAGGAAATTTATCAAATTAGGAAAATGTTGAATTTACACACACTAACAATCCTGTTGAGTTAAACTTTGTTCTCGTCTCACCGGAATTCCTCTGCAATTAAACATTGAGAAATGTCATGCAGTATAAAGCCAAATGAATCAAGATCACAAGATGATTTGTCATCACTTTTGTGAGCAATGAAATATGCATTTTGCCAATTTTGTTAAGCTCACTGTTATAATTTTCTTCTCCTTAGTAATTTGTAATCTAAATTATGTGAGTCTTTTGTGTATTATTTGTCATGTTAAACTACACCTGCTGCTCTTGATAAATACATATTTCACTTTGCACTCCTTGCAAAACAAGGAGAAAGAAAAGAATGACAAGCATTTCGCTAACACTTTGCACAGTCATTCTTGTAAATAAGAAAGTATCCTTCTTTATGTCCTGGAGTGCTGTGTTGAAGGCAAGAAAAAAAGGAAAAGTTGAGGGGGTGTACATTGTTTGAGAGGAGTTTTATGTGATTTTTATTGGAGTGGCAGAAGCAGATGACATTCGGGATTAGCAGACGGTGGGGCGAGATGTGAGGGAGGAAAATTATGAAAGTGTGAAGAGCAGTTGCAATAAAATATGTGGGTTTTTCTGGCGGGATTGATGGGCCAAAAATTTCCTTCTTGAACTCAATGGAGAAAAAGAGAAATTGCTGTGTGTGTGTGTGTGTGGATTCTTTTTTATGAGAATTCATCACAATTGAATTTTATTCTTGGGCACATTTCCATTTCTTAGAGAGCCAGTCAGACTTATCTGTGGGAGAAATCAATGGGGCGGGAAAGGGGGCAAAGATAGGGAAGATGTCAATAAAATTTTTTATTGTTACTTTCTACTATGTCACCCATATATATTCGCCCTTTCTTATCTCTCATGTGTCCTGGAGAATTGATTTTTCTCTCCTCCTCAGCATGTTTTCTTCGCATACTTTTGTCATACTAAAAGTGCTTCGTGCATTGGTTTTCTCTTCTCTTCCTTCTCTTTGTGCAGAGATTTAAAGGCGGAAAATCTGCTACTAGACAGCGAGATGAATATTAAAATAGCCGATTTTGGCTTCTCCAATGAATTCACGCCTGGCTCCAAGTTGGACACCTTCTGCGGAAGTCCTCCATATGCTGCACCTGAATTGTTTCAGGGGAAGAAGTATGACGGACCTGAGGTGGATGTGTGGTCTCTGGGTGTCATTCTCTATACTCTCGTGAGTGGCTCATTGCCATTTGATGGCACAACACTGCGTGAACTGAGGGAGAGGGTACTTCGTGGAAAGTATCGGTAAGTATTGGGTTGATGACACAGGATGTGTGCTGTGTTGCTGATCTCACAATATCTTTATTATGTAATTGTGTTCAGAAAGTGGCGATCAACATGATTGGCAACCCCAAATTTGCTCAGTAACTTCACAAAGAGGGTTTTTAGAGCTTTGATTCTTGGTTTTTTGACACATTGCGAAGTTCATTAAGTGAGAATCTAAGTATAAATCACACATTCAAGTTAAAAAAAAAAAACAGTTTACAGATTCACAGAGACTGATGTTCTATGCGCTTTATGGATGAAATATAGGTCTTTGTGAGGCATTACTAAAGATAAGAGTGGCAAAAAGTAGAACTTTCCACAGTGATTTTCAACAATCCGGAACGGATTAGTCATCAGATGAGCGAAAAGACGATGTTAATTAGTGAAAAATGTTCTCATCCATGAAGTGTGGATTCTGAATGACACTGATTTACTTTAATAAGACCAAAGAAAATCACTTGTGTGATGCCTTATCAGGTCGAAAAAGTGGGTTAGAGAACAGCACACACATACTCTGGGTCACAATGGCTCGCAATTGTGGAAATGTTTTTTTTTGTATGATTTTGCAGAATTCCTTTCTATATGTCAACGGACTGTGAAAATTTACTTCGTAAGTTTTTGGTATTGAATCCAGCCAAGAGGGCGAGTTTAGAAGTAATAATGCGTGATAAGTGGATGAATATGGGCTATGAGGAGGACGAACTGAAGCCCTACACTGAACCAGTGGCCGATTTGAAAGATCCCAAACGGATAGGTAAGACGGGTACTGTATTCATGACCAAATCAAATAATTCACTCACCATTCTCAAGGAAAAATATTTCTCTTTTGCTCTCGTTCGACATCTTTTGTCGTGTGGTGTGTCCCCGAGATTATACCATTTATTTTTAGGTCGCTGTGTATTTACCATATATCGAAGTTGTATAGAGAAAAAATACATATATAACTTCCTTTTATATAATATCATATAGATTTATATGTAATGCATATGTATATTATCAATTTTTTCTGTCAAAAGTAACAGCCAAAAGAAAAAAAAAATCAATTTCATTTTTTTTTCTTCTTCTTCTTGTGATGTAAAAAGTAGAGATTTGTTTCTTTTACTAGACATTTTCTCATAGATGATTTCCATATTGAATGTCATGAAATCTTTTATATCAATTCTCATTTCATTCACGGGGTGCAATTTGCCATGCTAGAGAAGTGAAATATATGTTGTGTGTGTGTGTATTCAAGGATGAAATGCATTTTCTTGAGAAGAATGCTTTTGAAATATACACATAGCAGTAAAACAATATCTTGAGTGGGAGTTTAACTTGATCCTTCAGCATTTGAAGAAAGATTTATTGATATTGCATTCGCAAGATTGACTTTGTGAGTGTTCATTGGGGAATTTATGGGTGAATAAAGATTTCAACTGTAATCTAAATTTTCTACTATTGAGATTTTCTAACAATTTTGTACATTATTGGCAAAATATTGTCACATATAATTCCGGAGTTCAATGGATGAAAATTTATGAGAAAAAAGGGGGGAAAATGGTTGAAAATCAACATTTAGTCATTTAATTATTTATGGACAATTTAGTAAATTAATTGCAATTCAAAATTCAGTACACTTCTGGCAAATTCACCCACGAATTGATTTTTATGGCTGTATTTTAAAGTTTCTCTGTAAAGTTTTTTTTTTTCCTTTTCATTATGGTTTATCTTCATGTGAAATGTAAAATGTTTGCTCGATTCATTTGTAGAGAATTTTTGAATTCTTATCACTGAAAATAAAAAAAATGATATGGCAAATTTTGTTGCTGTTAGATGCTGATGAATCTTTCTAGTTATTCCTTTCTATTCTTTTTTGTATTCCTTTTACCAGCATTTACATTCTCATTTGAATATTGTACATAAAAGATATAAGAAATGAACATGAATATGAGAAAAACAGAGAGAGAGAAAATGAAAAATTGCGGGAAATTGGAATGATTTGCCGCTCGTCAAGTATTCTATTTACCATTTCTGACGAATACGCGGGTTACTGTACTCTCGTTGAGTGGGTAATTCTCATCCAGTAAAACGATTTGTGTAGGGAATTATTTCACTGAAATTGCTCCATTAATAATTTACGCGGCTCTCTTTATATCAAATGTGGAATTATATAGGATATACTGAAGATTTGAGGGTGTGAGTATTGTGCATGGTCGGCATATTGCGATGAATCAATATATAGATTGTGGAAGAAGGAGAAGAAATAAAAAAAAAATTGGGAGAGTGAGTCGATCACAGAGTGTAAAAAGGAGCCATTAAAATTTGAGTAAGAGATATTAATAAATATTGAAGGGTGGCGGCGATGGTGGTGTAAAAAAAAATCAAATTCTGTGTGCCTCGCTTCTTTTATTAACTCAATAGCACGCGTTGCGGTGCCGCAGGGACACACTCTCTCCTCTCTTTTCCCTGGGTTTTTCATCACTTCAATGTTATTAGTGATATCGACACCATAATGTATAATGCTTGTTAATATACATATATTTGCGTGCAAAATACTCTTGCCACCCACTAAAATATTCTCTTGATTCCATTAAATTTCCCTTCAATGAGCGGATACAGGGTGTGTGTAGAGTGTGTGGGTGGGCGAAAGAGGATTGCAGGGTGGCTGAGACGAGGTGTATGGCAATTTGTAAAGTGATCCTTTGTGAAAATTGCACAAACAGCTGGAATGGCTCACAATTTTTCCCTTTCTCCATCTTCCCTTATTTTGCCTCATCTTTAAAGGGAGGCATTTTTATGTTTCATGAAATATAAATGAAATTTGATACTTTTCCTCATGAAATTCTCTTGCTCTTGTCCTCTTGTCGTTTCCACATCCTTCGCCAGGATCATGTTTATGGCTCATCAAACACCAAATACACATATGAAGAGAGAGCGAGAGAGAGAGGGAGAGAGAGAGGCAGTGAGGGTGAATAGACCAGTGCAAAAGGGAGATTATGCGTGGGAGAAAAGATATAATAATAATGTGAAAGATGGAGTTTTTCCACCACTATATTGCAGTTATGAATTCAATTTTTCCTTGTAGATGCAACGCATGCATAATGTGATGAAAAAACTGTCCTTTAACATTTTCAAGGAGGGATTTTGAGTCGAATTGCTGCTTGATTTTTTTTTCTCAACTTGAGATGTGGAAAATATTTTTCCTCAATTACAAATTGAATGGGAAACTCTTCGCGAAGAGCAGAAAGGGTGAAATTATAATGGTTGAACGAATATAAGTCGACTGCATTCATAGGAAATTGATGATGGGGAGGTTTTTATTATGAGAAATATGTTTTTCAATATCCGACCAATGTTCTTCTTTCTTACAATATGGGAACGAGAAGATAAATGCAATAATAATAGTAAAAATGCAGACGTGGAAAGTTGTGAAATGTTTGTTGAAGATTCTTCTTTTGATACCAAATTGATATAGAATATTTGGCAATTTCTCTCACTCAATGTATCTGTTCTTTATATATCTTATTACATTTTTGCTATTGGCGAAAATAAAAATGTTTAGCCGTTATTAAATATTTTTGATTATCTTTTTTTTTTGAAATGGTGATTGGCTAGTAATTTTCTTTGTCGTTGTTGTTGTTGTTTTTTATTGAGAATTGTGTGTGTACAAAAAGAGCAAAGTCAAATATGAATTTTTTTTCTCCTTTTTGTATGGAAAAATGAAAATTTTGTATTAACATGTGATTTTTTTTCTCTTTTTTAATCGCTGTCTTTTTGTCTGTCATCGCAACGCAAAACAAAAACGCTCGAACAATGATTAAAAAAAAAACCAAACAAACATCCTGTAGAAGCCCTAGTCGCAATGGGTTACAATAGGCAAGACATTGAAGAATCACTGTCACAAGTTCGCTATGACGATGTGTTCGCCACATATTTGCTTCTAGGAAGAAAAAGCACAGATGTAAGTCATGACATTTTTCTCTAGTACACTTTTTCTTAACACCCTTCTTCTTCTTTTGGATATAGAGAGTTTTGTTTTTATTTCTTAATTTTTGCATTCCCTGAAACTCTGAAACATGAAAAAGTCTCTTTGCAGTTGAAGAATTGGTTTAATTGTTGTGATGTGTGATTGCAAGTGAATATATTGTGGCATTAATGATTGTGTTCTTTGCAACAGCCCGAATCAGACGGTTCCCGGTCCGGGTCTTCCCTCTCGCTGAGGAATATCGCAGGAAATGATGCAGCAGTTGCGGGTAATTCCACTGTTCAGAGTCCAACGCATCGTGGTGTCCATCGAAGTATCTCAGCGTCGAGTACTAAACCGAACAGGAGGGCTTCAAGTGGTGCTGAAACACTGCGTAAGTCATTCCATGTCAAAATATTCATAGTGTGAACTTTATTTACTCCATTGAGAGCAATAAAGATTTTGTGATAAATGTGTATTAATATGACATCACACAAGTTGTGCGTTGTTATTGTAATGAAAGTCATGACGATAGAGAGAAATGGAAATTTACCTTTCTTTCCTTCTTTCTTCCTTTATGTTTTGATGGAGTAAATAAAGATTGATGTTGTACTTTTGGCTTTAGTATTATTGCCTCAAAATGATGCCCCATTAACAGTCATTTTTTATGTTTATCAATTTCATTTAATGCATGTGTGGGGGAGGGATTATTATTTTTTTATTTCTTATGATTTCTCTTGTTCTTCTCCAAAATCATATATATATATATATATATATTGTGTATATATTTTTTTGCGCTGATCAAGATAGCCAAAACACCAAATAGATAAGAAAAATGTGCACATTTGTTACTAAAAAGACAATGATTGTATTAAAAATAAAATTCTAATAAATTCAGGTAAGTGTAGTTGAATGCATTAGTGACTAAAACAAGAACAACGAGTAAATGTTCATTAATTAAAATTGTGTAAATGCGCACAAATTAAAGAAAAATGCCGTGATAAAATTGTTGTATGCAAAAATTGTTGTTCTAATCACACAAACACACACAAAAAAATAAAGAAAACATAAGCACAGTTGCAAATGTTTATCGTGGCAAGAGATCTTCAAGGTGCGCACTTCAGAGAAAAGTTCTCTCCCTCCGAAAAGACGTACTAACACACGCTTTAAATGAAGACATAAACAGTGACAGGGTGACAACACTTTAAAATATAGAAATATTCCATCGTTTCATAACAGGTGTTGGTCCCACGGCGGCCGTGGTGGCGGCGGCAGCGGCCGCGGCGTCTGGCACGACGAATGCTGCCAACAATCACACAACAGCGGCCGCAGCGACGGCAACAAGTGGTGCCACTTCGTCTACCGAGAGAGCTTCGATGTGAGTAGAAACCGCAAAGTTAATTTTCACACAAGTTTTCTTTATTGTACACTAAGTTAGAAGTACACAATCCCTATTGCATTCCACGTGATATATTAAATTCGTGTTGTGAATCTTGGAAAACTTTCCCAATTTCAATATACAAACTAGATATTAAGCTAGATGAAGAGAAATTTGAACGTAAAATATCCTGTGAATGCCAAACATTACATGATTTTCCAATTTTCCACAAAACTAATAACGTTATCCACTATTTATGGTTCATGCTGATGCAGAAGCAGCAACTTTAAGCGACAAAATACAATAGATTCAGCCACCATAAAGGAGAATACGGCACGTTTGGCAGCACAAAATCAACGACCAGCATCGGCTCAGCCAAAACCCGTGGCAGCAACTGAAAATGGTGAGTTTTTTTTTCTCTTTTAAGCTTTGAGCTTTGAAATTGATCACATATTGTCTGTTTGTATAACGTATGAGATGGTTTTTTTTGCAGCAATTTCAAGTCCAGCCAAACCACGCAGCAGCGCAACAAAGTACGATCCAACTAATGGCAATCGCACAGTTGGTCCCAGTGGCATGATTCCGAGGCGCTCCACCACGCTGTACGAGAAGACATCATCGACGGAGAAGACAAATGTTCTACCGGCAGAGTCAAAGTACGTAGAACTTCTTGTGTCACGACGTTTCTTTTTATTTCTTCTTCTTCTCTATACATATATCTCTCTCTCTTTCTGTGTTACACAGCATTTTGTGGCTCAATATTTCTTCTCTTATACATATATATTTTTTGGTTGTTTACTTTCCAATCTTACGTTGGAGACACTTCTACTCTTGTCCTCAAATTATCATTTCAATAGGGGGTGGGACACGCTGTGTTGGATTGGGAGGGTGTTTAATTAAATGGGAGTTACTTTTGGGGGTGACTTTGACGGTGAAAGCGTACCAAAATTCGGGGTGGAAATTTTAATTTTATCAAAGATTCCAACACAACAAATTAACTTTCTGTGATTGAAGTGGAAAAATCAATGGGAGGAAGTTTTCTCTCTATATATGCTTTTGCCGTATTTCCTGAGTTTGATTGGACAGTGTCAGGAAATTAAAGAGAATTATAAATATAGGTATATATATAGAAATGTCGTTTCTGCAATCTACACAGCGTTGATTTTTTAATTACTTACTATTTTCAATTTATCACATTATTGTTTCTTTTTCTGAGTTAATCAGAAATGTTTTTAGTAAATTAAATGTGATTGTTTAAAGCTTCTATAGTCAAGCACAAACAATCAACAGTTTGTCTAAAAAAAAAAAGTGCCAAGAGTTCAGTTGACATATGATGAGGAGTATTTGAAGATGGCGAGAAAATGTCCTTTTGTGAGAGATTGACCCAAAGTCAATATCATTCGCAGAGCTTAAATTTGTACGATGTGTTAAGTCCGTGGGTGGAATCAATATATCCGTACATTCTGGGGCAAATGCTTATGAAGCCTGACAAGGGACCTTTTTTTCTCTCTGTTGTTGCCAAATATAGAAAAAGAAGGATGAATGGTCCAAAAAAAAGTGCCATTCTCAAAATAAATATCAATAGGTGTGCGCACACAGTGTGTGTATGTCTGTTTATCAGTGAGATGGAAAGCCTTCTTCCGTGCCGCCCTTTTTCTTTCCTGTGACCATGATTTTGTCTTTCAAGGATTCTGTCTCTCTCTCGCCATGTGAATCACCGTCATTTTCATGTCATATTACTTATTATTATTGATGTTGATCCGTGGGAAAATGTAAAGTTGTCTTGCAATATCATATTATTTGCATGGAAAGGTAAAATTCTATGTCGCTCACTAGCGCAACATTTCTTTTGCGTTTCACGCACTGTATTTTCTTTCCTTATTGCCACCAGCAATATGACATGTCACGGCAGGTTAACTGGAGGGTTTGTCTGTTGGGGTTGAAGGTGATAGGCTTGAGAGAGTTGTCAATGGAGTGTGGGGTGGCATTTCTCAAGGGGAATATGAAAAGAAATGATTGTGAAATGCTGAAAGTACAGGAAATGGAGAGAAAGTGAGGTGGAAATATTTCAATTGAATCAAAAACTGGGAGATATGGCAAATTTGAGGTGAACACAGGAAGAAGAAGAAAAAAATGGAGAATAGACAAGATCTAGGGGGTTGTCATTTGACCTATGAGAGTCAGAAAAGGTTTTACACAAGTAAAGGGTGTGTTTTTGTGTGGAAAATTCCCAGTATATTTCTCCATTAATTGATTATCCTCTTTGAGTATGTGGAAGTTGATAAAAAGGGAAATTCCATCATATCTTTTTACATTTCGGGGCTTCTTTTTTTCTTCTTCTTTGGCTTTCCGGGCAAAGCCAGGCAAAAATGAGTTTCACGCTGGGATTTGGTGGAATTTAAATTGGCAATTATGTCTTTTGTCAAACAAATATCCTCTTCCTTAGCATTAACCTTCTCATCAACTCTATACTTTGTACCTTATTATGTGTCTCTCTCTGTGTTTCACTTGATGATGATTTTTTCTTTATAGAGAAACAAATATTATAGAAAATCTTTTTTTTTCTTCTCTATTACGTGTAGTTTATAAATTAATTGACTTTCAAATGTTCTCTCCATATATATAAAAAAAAAACTTCTTATTGATTTAGAGTTTTATGTTTAATTTTTGACTTTATAATATCTTCCATTTTGAAATGATAGAGATGAGAAAAATGCCTCTGAAATACTATTAGTGTTTTCGACATGAATTTCTTGGGTGTACATATAAAAAATGACACATGTTTTCCCCTAATGCCGTCCAATTCAAGTTTCGCCACGGCGGTGTCCGAGTTGACACGTGGCGGATCCACGGGGGGCGCCACTGGCGTGACCAGTGGTGGCGGCAAAGGACACGTGAAGAGCGCCTCAGTGTCGAGTCCAGGTCCATCGGCAGAAACCGATCCATTGGGACCGAGGTATAAAAATCTCTCGGGGAAGAGATTGAGCAGTGAAAGTGTGTGTTGTTTTCCTTCGCAAGTTGTGGCGATTGTGTCTCTGGCGTGGGTTCAAATCTCACAGAGATGAAAGAAAGAAAATGAAAAACAATTTTAAACACACTTTATCGACAAATCCCATTGGCAGGAGTTGTTGGAAAACTGGATTGCTCAATGTCTTGTGCGAGAGATGGAGAGAAAATCTCTTAGAGCAAGATTTTTCAGTGATTTTCTCGTTTTTTTTTTTTACTTTTCTTGACTATTCTTTGCGATATCTTCTTGCTCAGTTCTTGTTGTTGTTTTTCGTTTTAACCATGAGAATTTTAAAAACTTTCTTTTTGTACTTTTTATTCTGAATCGCCCGCTCTGTTGCTCGTTTTCGGAGGATGAATAATAAAAAGCGAGAGTTTCATTTGATATTTTTTTTTCATTTTTTATTCTGTGGAGAGAGCAAAATAGTTTTTTTCGAGTTTTTTTTTGCCTTCTTTGTTTTGATAAACACAATTGGCGGCTTTTCTGGATTTGGCAATTTAGAGTGTACTTTTTTTTGTTAAACGGGCGGCTTTTTACATATTATTATACGTAGTATATTTTTCATATCATTATGCTAAAATATTCTTTTAAATGCCAAATTAGTTCACAAGTGTAGATAAAATTGAAACAGGATAAAAGAAATTTAGTAACACAAAAACACAATATCATTATCAATGAGACAAAAGGAGAAACACATTTAATAAAAAAAAACATGGACATTAATTGGATTTATCATTTTGGAATGAAATGTTGCATAAACTGGATTATTTCGTTGCTTTCAATGAATAATTAAATAAATTCTTTGTACTTTTTTCAAGCTGTGGGAAAAAAAATTAAATTATTTTTTAATTTTAGCAATCATATGACATTAAATTAACACGAATAGTAATATGGTGAAAAATATTAACCGATATCACTTTATTTCTCTCTTTTTTCACGCATTAAATTAATCCAATGGCCGCTTCAATAATGCATTATTGCAAAAACAATAAAAAATTTGCCAACCATCAACTGACAACTTATGACTGGTGAGTGTTTATATACTTTCACAATTGACATTTTGGGGGATATTTTGCGAGATGAAGTCTCGTGAAAGAGGAAGGAAATCCTTGAAAAATGTGTTGTTTTATTGGGGTTTTTTTATGTCAAGTATTCACTGATTTTTTCTTTTCTTTTTGAAAGCCGTATCGTTTAAAACATTATTTTGTGAACATGAAAAGCAACTCTGTGATTGCGCCAGTGTTGTTGTTTTTTTTTCTTCTCCTAAAGAACGCGTGAAAGAAAATATTCTGTGCTGGCTAAAGTGCGTGCGTCTTTATATTATTTTCTTCTCTTTGAATGTATTTAATAAACTTTCTTTCGAATAAAACTTTATACAAATTGACAATGATGGACATTGACAGTTTTCAGTTGGTCGCAATTGATTGATTATATCGTGAAAATTCTCGGAGCTAATCAATCAATTTGGGTGTAGAAATTGTCAATGAGAAGAAAAGAAGTTGCTGAAGAAATGTGAGGGAGAAGAAATGTGTTTAAAAGCATGTAGTTTTTTTTTCTTTTTATTCGTTTGAATTCATATTTTGGCGGTTTATTGTTCAATGTAGAAAATTTTAAATGTCACAAGAAATGGAAAACATTCAACTTAGCAAAAGTTAAGTATATATTTATATATGCAAAAAAGGATGAAGCAAAATTTTGTTTGGCTGTGTTTTTGAACCAGTTTATTCATTCATGAATTCATCCAAAAATTGTGTAACAGAGTAATTATCCTGCATGTGAGTTTCTATGTTTAATTATACGTGACAAAAGTTCCTGATTATATTGATCATTTTGAAGTTTGTTAAGTTGACCAATTGCAAAAGTGGTTTTTGCCAGACGAGAGCAATTTCTTAATGAATTCCCTGCAGTTTAATCAATCTTATTCACTTTCTTGCATTACAAATTATATGCTCACTTGGGAAATGTGCAAAACATTTACTAATTTATCTCTTCATGTGAAGTTTGTGTTGGTTCTTTTTGTCCCGAGAGGGAATTTCTACTGAGACAAAGACACTTTGGATTCCCATTTAATAATATTAAAATGTAGAACTTTTAGAATTCTCTCGCTGTATTACTTTACAATTTTCATATTGTCAATTAAAGTTTGGAAAAGTCATCATTTTGTATGGTTTTTCTTGTTGTTTTCTCGTCAAATATTTTTCATTTTTGCAATAAAATTCCCTCCTCACATTTCTGAAGAACAATCATATATGACATGAGCATATAACGCCAATTTAACACCACACAGATATAAAGAAATAAAAGAGAAAAGAAATTGCGTAGTGGGAATGAAATAGATAATTTTCCACTTATGCAATTTTAATATATTTAACGAATAATAATAATAATAATATTACCTATGATTTCTTTTCTGTAGAACATTCCACAGCAAGAGTAGATTTAGTGAAAGATTCCCTAACATAAATTCACTATCATTGTTATGAGTTTTTCTTCTTCTTTGGTTATTTTCTCAGTTTGCTGAATCGCATCAGATTGACACCAGCTGCTAAATCTAGCCGTCACTTTCCCCGAAATGTTCCATCACGATCCACTTTTCATTCAGGTGAGTTGTTCCATTCACGCACTCTCCCTTCCCCCCGAACACACCCCCTCACTGAGGAAGTGTGGCGGATAATGATGCTGAGGATGAGTTGGAGAGACAATGACACGATATTCGACACTTTCCACACTCGATTTTGTCATTTGATTTTATTCTCCTTTCTCACTGTTACTTTTATCCTTGAATGCTCCTCTTTTGTGATAGTTTGTGCGACTGTGGAAAGACGCAGAATATCGAAATGTCATTGGATTTTATCTTACAATTGACGTTTCGTTTATATAGCAAATATGGCAATTTACTTATGTGTTTTCAAATAAAGGGTTTTTTTTTTAGCCTTTTCTAAATATTCTTGCATGAAATTGTAATTTTTCAGCACAACAGTTAATGCTGTGCTGTATTATTTATTGGACTCCAATGCCTCTGAAGAGTAATAGAGAAAAGGAAATCAATATTGAAATGAAATTTAAAATATTCAGAGAGTTCTTCGTCTTTTTTACTGGATTACTGTCAATTCTATTGTCTTTTTTCTCTACATCATCTTCACACAGTTGCATAATAATATGTCTGTGCCTGTGTGTTCGTGTTTGTAACTTGAAGAAACGGAATAAATGAGAAATAAATAGAATTTCCGAGAAAGTCGTTGATAAAATGGAAATAATTGTTTATTCAATTCACATTGGTGAACTTTTCATAATTGTATTTTTCAGTTTTCCCTCTTGTTTTTCACAATCTATGAGATATTTGTCTATACATTTCGTTATTAAAATATATAGAAAGGACTTTGACAGTGACGAATATTAATATCATCCGGACTTCCTCAAAATCAAAATAATTTCTCTACACTTCATAATTAGTTTGTTTGATAAATATTCACGTCAAAGAATGCATCAACATATTTCATATTACTTTACACATGATGAAACTTTGTTAATGTGTTTTTCATACACTTTTCCATAAATTGGTTTGCTACATAGTTCATAAAGTGGGAAATTTCGATGTGTTTTGAATGCAATTTTAATGCAATTTACTTCCATGGCATCTGTAAGACAATGTTTTTGGGGTAAAATTTTCAATTATAATTTCTGGTAGAACGGTTGTTGTTTTGGGGATGTGTGGAGAAAATGCGGGAGCTGATATACTAGAATATAAAGTGGAATATTTTGTGATGCTGTTGATTGTTTCTTTATGATAAAATTCTGTGCACTGTTTGATTTTGCAGGGCAAACCAGAGCCAGAAATAACACAGGACTTGAGTATTCGGGAACTGGTGGCACGACTGGAGACTCGCCACATTCAGGAAGGACGAGTTTTTTCTCCAAAATCTCCTCCCGCTTCAGTAAACGGTAAGCAAAAATTACTTTTTTCTCTTTGTCACTTTTCAATTCAGAGAATATGTTAGGATGGTTATTTTTTTAATCTCATTGCATCTCCAAGAGTCACATGTTTGTATTTTTTTTTAAATTATTTTTTTTTTACTTGTTACTGGAAAATTTGTGCTCACAATAATTTAATTTATGATTCATTTTGTTGTTGATTTTCTTTCTTACTGTTTTGCGTGCTTGAATTGGAACGCGCTGCATTTATTTTGCTGTAATGAAAAAAAATTTCTTTGGAAAATTTTTGTCTGTCGCGCTATAATGTTGATGTTCAGATTTGAAAATTGACTGTGTGTTCCATAAAAATGTCTTTGGATGATTAAGACATTTCATGGGAAATCTATCAAGTCTGAATATTTATTATATAGTGTAAATTTTCATTTAATTTTTTGAGTTTTGTGAAAGAAAATTAATGCTATAAAGTGATGAAAATATCTAACAATAAATTGTTCTCATTTTCAAAAATACACACGACATTGCATGCATTTTTTTTTCTTCAAATTTTCACATGTAATAATGAAATGTTAACAGTGTTAAACCCTAATTTTTACCCTTTGTCCATCACCTCCTGTGTAACAACCACTTCATGTTTATTAATTTGCTGTTTCTTTCTGATTTTTTCACTTGTCTCACTGCACACAATTCTCAGTGCCATTTTCTTATTCATATATATTTAAACGTAAGGCCATTAGAGTAAAACCCTTGAATCCATTTCAAAGAGAGAAAGAGAGAGAGAGAGAGAGCGAGAGCGACCAAAGGTGTGAGAAATGCTAGAAAATAATGTGATTTTTGAAAGAAAAAAATAGTTTTCTTAAACATTGGGACAGTTTGTTTCTCTTGTCTTTGTTAATGACAGATTAGCGAGTAAAAGTAATTTAACATATTTTTTGTTTTTTTCTTTTCTGATTATTTTCATTTTATTCTAAAACAATTTTCGTATATTGTTCATTTCAGGTTTAGGGTATTTACGGCTAAAAATTAGTCTCACTTGAAGTACTAAATTTACAACCTTAAAGTGTTTTTATTTCTTTGCTTGATATGTTAATTTTCTTGAAGAATTAGTTTTTTTTTAAAGTTCTCCAATCAGTAATGAATTAAAAAAAAATTAGGAATAGAAGTTTAGTTTAGATCTTAGAAAGAAGAAGAAAATGATGATGAAATGAAATGTTTTTTTTTTTTGGAAATAATAGTATTTAATAATAACTTATTTGTTAAACATATGAATTTGAAGTAATGCTATAATAAGCTGCAAATATCCCAATAAATTTTCCTCTAAAATGAGGATAATTTTCAGGATAAATAAGCACACATAAACACACATGAAAAGAGTTAAGGAAAATGTTCACATGCTTTCCACGAAAAATATCCCATCTTTCGCCTTTCAAAACTACCGCATTTACACACGCAACACACACACAAACATCCACAAATACTTTCCATGCAAAGTGACTAAAAGTGTAATAATGGAAAAAGGTTTGCACAATGGTTTATAATTGACTCCGTTATTAGTTTGTTTTTAATCATAATATTAATTTGAATAAAAGAACTGCAGAGGATGTGGGACCATTTGAATTTTAATGTTACAAATCACCTCATTAACTCTTAAAAGGCATGCACAGAGTTGAATCCGAATTTGTGATTTTGGATTCGGAATTTAAAAAAAAAAATTGATTTTTTTGGTCTTTTTGGTTTGATTTTATTTTATTCATCATTGGCGCTGACAAGAAATTTAGATCATTGTGCACTCCTTTAATAATATGCCATATTGAAGTTACTTCTTATGGATTTTATGGTGTTTTATGTCTTAAATATCACGTGATAAAAATCCAGTTGAAGGTAGTGTAAAGAAAAGCAAACAGTGAGAATTTTATCTACATATATTTTCTTTATTTATGCTTCTTTCAAGCATATTATTATTATTATTCTTTTAAGTGGTCACGCTGCAGATTTTTCTTTTAAGTTTGTCTCAAAATATGTTCTTGAAAGAAGAAAAAAATAACAAGCGTCCATCATATGAATGGAGAAGGAAGAGAAAGGAGAGATTTTTTTGGAGTGAAGGATTTATCATTGTGCAAAGTTTTTATTTTCTTCATTAAATTATTCCTTTATACTCGCCATCATACTTTCAGTGTATATTATTATTATTATTATTATTATTGTTTTTTTGATAAAAAGAAATCTCTTTTATATTTTTCCTATCTCTACATTTTTGGCACTATATATACATATATATATATATACTTTTTCAAAAGCAAAGTTACAAGAATGCATAATAGTGACAGAAAAACTCGATTTAGAGTGAATGTTGTGAATGGAGATGGTATAAAATGAATATTTTCATTGGATTTTCTTCTAGGCTCAATCAGTAGCATTTGTCGTAATGCTATGTGAGAATTGACATGAATGAAGCGATGGGAGAACAGGGATAGAGAGAGTGATGAAAAATCTGCAGCTGTGACCAATTTATTCCATATTAGTTGTTAAGATCGATTATATTGAAAATTGTTTTTATGAGAAACTTGAGAAAAATAGCAAATGAAGTTAAATAATTGTTCCTTCTCATTTTATTTATTTTCTCTTTATTTTCCTGATGTGAATTAAGAGAGAGAGAGAGAGAGAAAGAGAGATATTAGAAATATATAGTATGAAAATTTACACAGAAAAGGAATTTGCTTTAGGAACTGAAAAGTTTTTCAGCGCTATTCTATATAGGAATCAATTTCTTTATTAGGTACATTTCTAACTACTATATATGTCTCTGTGTTTATCTTTAACTGTGAGTGTCACATCGATAATTTTGCACTACTTATTTTTTTTTGTTACTATATATGGTCCTACATTTTTTTCTATCATGTGTTTTGACTTTTCGTTTCGACGTTATGTTTTTGCACATTGAGAAGAGGGCAAAGAGAGAAAAGAGATGAGAAACTTTGCAAAGACAGACGGTTGAAAGCACTGAAAGATTTGTCAAGTTTTCCACACACACAGTTGACTTCTATCATTTCTTTTTGTTTTTTTCTTCTTTTCTTTCTCTTTTCAACAGTCTTGTGAAATTTCTGCCAAATAATTTGAGGGCATCTGGCATTAGAATGAGTTTTAGGCGTAGTACTAGAGAGAAGAGTGCTAAGAGAAATTCTCAGCCCCTCAGTTCATCATCCCATTCACGCAACACATCAGTCTAGCAAGTATTCTTAGAGATACCAATCAAAGCAATAGAGAGAAAATTGAATATAAGAGTGAGAGAGAAGGAGAGAGACGAAGGAAGGAAGGAAGGCTTGTTATAGTTTTGAGAGGTACAAATGTAATGTTTGTATGTTAAGCTACATAACTAAATGAGGGAATTTCCACGTCGTGTGTGTCGTCGAGTGAGAGAGAGAGAGAGGGAAAAGAGGGCAATTTTCCCCAATTCTCCCCGCAAAATGTGTTGATTTTGCAGTTTCAGCGGATTTTGGCAAAAAGGGAAATAATAATGGGTGAATCTTCTGAAGCAAAAATCAATCAACGAGAGATAAATTCCCAAAATGTAAACACAGTTGAGAACGAGAGCGAGAGAGAGAGAGAGAGAGAAAACAAGTTAATGAAGTAACATTGTTAGTTTTACAAGCATTATTAATTTAAGCGACAAAAAATAGCCTATTGAATAAATTATGAGAGAAAATATAGTGAGAAATATTTGTCAAAAAATAAAATAACAGTTTATTTTTCCCACTTTCCCCTCACAATCCAAATGAAAATCACATATAACTATATGTATATGATTTGTCGACAATTGAATTTTTGGGGTTGACAACAGCCAAAAAAAAACAATCAAATTGCAGAGCATAAAAATGATCACGCTTTTCGCACAATTTTGTATGTAATAATGCTGCACAACATTTGCTATTGTGTCAGCAAATTGCCGGAGATGGAGCTTCAATGTTAAACACGCTTTGAGCTTTCCTGGGTGATGGTGTTACCATTAACGCTACAATGCTTAGTCTTCTCTACCTGATGCTTCAATCCTCTCTCTGAGGCGAGAAGTATTTGCATTCTTGCGGGAAATTTTCAGTTAAGAGTCAGTGAATGTCAGAATACAAGTTCATCAAGCTTAGTGGGCGGAGAAATGAAGTGGGCGTGGTTTGGTTTTGAGTCCCCATTGGCTGACATGTAGCGTAAATTTTTTTTATTCAAAAACTTACTGATTCTCTCAATTTCTGAGCGGAAGCTTGAATTTATCGATGAAAGTGATCAATCAAGTGTACAAAATCCAGTGTTTGATTTTCTCTCTCTGTTGCCAAATTAACACATTTCCCCCTTTGCATTTCTCGTGCTTTTTTTTATTTGTTGAACTGAATCTATGTTGTGACGTTTTGAGACACCCTCGTGTGTCGTTCCGTGTTTACTGTTAATTGGCCATCTTTCATATTTGATGTGAGAGTCACAAAACAATTGTCATTCACGGTTTTGGGGTCACATTTTTGTGTTGGCAATTAAATGCCACCCAAATTGTGTGTCACACCTTTTCTACTCTGCGCCTCAATTGCGGCGAGGGTGGGATTTTTTATTTGGGCATCACAGGCACAGAGAGAGAGAGATTGCTAAACTTATATAGAGAGAATAATATTGTCCACCTTGTTTGTTTTCCTCCTTTCTGTTTATGTTTAACCACATTTTTTGCGTTTGGTTTTTCTTTCTTTTATTTTAGGCCCACCGATGGCCAAGCAAACTCCACATCAAACAATATTAGGTAATTAGACCAACACCAACATTTATAATTTTTATTCTTAGGTAAATCCTGTAAACACGCTGTTCTGTCTCAATTCTTACATGTCTCTTTGTCTAACTCTGCGCTCAGCTCTTAGATGAATAACAGCCAAAAAAAGAGAGAGAGAGAAAGAGATAATATTGTCAAAAGCAGAGGTGAAGAGCGACAGTGAAGAATGTAGCAAAAGTGTATAAAAAATATGGCATTTTCCCGTGTTTCTCTTCCGCAACTTCACCGCCATTCAATAAACTCCCTCAGTTTCCACCATCCCCCTTCAGTTTAATTCAATTCCCGCCACTCTTTAGTCTAGTTGTGAGCTTGCAAAGTTAATTAATGACAAGAAAAAAAATATTGCACGAAGCATCGAGTCATGTTTCTCTTTGTTACGTTGCATCATCACTCAGCAGTGCGCGTCCAAGGAGAAAAGCTTCTTATATCCATGATTCCTTTGCACGCAGAGCGTCTAAGCATGAGACTTGCGACGATAGAGTTCGTGTTTTTCTTGCAATGTTGTTTGCCGTTGAATATTATAGTAGAAGTGAAGATGAAAGAAAGAAGAAGAAAAAGCTGCCAATGATGAGGAAGACGATTAAACTGGTGAATTACCTTAAGCTTTTTCCCTCGCAGTGGATCAAACACGGAAGAACCGGTGAAGCCGAGAGTGCTGCGCTTCACGTGGTCCATGAAGACGACGTCGCCACGGCTCCCAGATGAAATTATGGCGGAGATTCGATCGGTGCTGGACAAGAACAATTGCGACTATGAGCAACGAGAAAGGTAATTTCGCTAAATGTCTCAACTTTTCACGCAATGATTCTTACTGTGGAAAATGCTTTCACTCTTCTACTCCCTCAGATTCGTTCTACTCTGTGTTCATGGTGATCCGAACACGGATTCGCTGGTTCAGTGGGAAATTGAGGTGTGCAAATTGCCAAGACTGTCACTCAATGGTGTTCGTTTCAAACGTATTTCAGGTGAGTGAATTTTCTTCCGCTGCAAGATTGATTTATTAGATTTGAGTCAGAAATGCGAAGTTGAAATTCGAACAGCCAGCAAGAGAGAGAGAGAGAGAGAGAAATTGGAACTGTGCAAAGTTGAAACGAGTTGTAATTTGATTGCAAAGAGTGGGAAAGTCGTGGTGTCAGCTGGAATTTTTATTTTTGAAAACTTCTAGACTTGAAATATCATTGACTTGATGATTTGATGATGGAAAAGTGTTTGTAAATATCAGAGCACGAATTAGAAATCAGGGTTGAAGTTACTCTTTTACACCTGGACTGTCTCACTGTGTGCTTTTAGCTAATAATTCTGTCCAACTAAAGAGGAGAGGAAAAAAAAATGTCAAAGTCAAAGTGCAAGTTTCGTACGAAATCGTATAAAAGCTCCGCAACTTCTGTACATCTTGCAATCAAACGTTCAGAGACGTGATTTATTGCATTTCGAAGCGGGAAATGAAGGGTTCTAATGCGATTGTAATTGGATTTCGTGTGTGCTTTGTAGGTACCAGTATTGGCTTCAAGAATATTGCTTCTAAAATCGCGTACGACCTCCGACTGTGACTCGATCCCAAGCCTGAGCAGCAGCAGCCGCCGCCGGGCGCAAGTGGGGCGCCCGACGAGGCGTTCCGGGGCGACGAGGAGCCCTGTGTGGTGGAGGAGGTGGACGAGGAGGAGCTGGACGAGGCGGAGGGTGGCGAGCGGGATGAGAAGAAGGCAGCAACTGCTGCTGCTGCTGCTGCTGCGGCGAACAGGAACAGCAAGATTGGCTACAACAACATCATCGCGTCGCTGCTGCGAACGACAACACTGTAAATATTCTCTGACCCTCATTTAGGGGAAGTTTCACCCTATCTTTCTCTCCCTCAGTTTCCTTTTCTTTTGATTATGCCTGAAATTTACATGCCAAATTGTTTAATAGTGCGAATAGAAAGAGAAAGAGAGAGAGAGAGTGAGAGAAAAAATACACTTCTGCTCTACAAGGTGATTTATCGTCAATGCCGACGAAGGAGTGATTTTTCCGTTTCACTCAATGAATTTCACACAATTTATTTTGCCAAATTTGAAACACAGAAGTCGCTAGTTGAGTTGACAGACATTTTTTCGAGCCAAAAAAAAATGTGCTCATTGTTAAATTTCAATTTGCGAATGAGTGCAAAATTGAGCGTGACGAGAGGAAAATGTGTCATTTTTCATCAGCATCATGAAATCCATAACATTCTGCCAATCTGAGTCATATAATAGTTATGAGATATTCTGCAATGGTGAAATTTTAATACGCGAAAAGCTGAGCGCATCATAAAACCCGCTTCAGTGCTTTTGTAAATGATTTTTTTTTCTTCAATTATTTACAGAGATTAATTAAATTGTCTGTTTGATATGGAAATGAAATCCATTAAGCTCGCACAATTTTAATGCTTTTTATTATCGGATTTTCAATGCTGATTAAGTTTTTTTACATCCGCATTTTTGACAGTCTTTATAGGAGAAATTTAATTGAAATTGGACAATTTCATCAAGATTGTCAAGAGTTATTCATTTATTTTTCATTTGTGGTATTAATTTTCCGTATTTCCCAATTTGTGGAATTTGAGATATTGCGTGGGAAAAAGGCGCGCAATGGTGGGAAAAAGGGAGGAAAAGTCATTGTCACGCCTTTTACTGCCTGAATTATTGAAATTAATGTGATTTAATTAGCAAAATTACATGGAGAACATATGCAGAAGATTTCAAACGTCACCGCATTCGTACATCTTGTGTTGAGCGCGAAGTTGAGAACATGTCAGTTGAGTGATGAATATGAAATTGCCATCTGATGTGGTGATGGTGAATGGGGAAAAGTTTGTGGGTTGGTTGGGAAATATTCCTTTGCCTCCGTCGTCAACTGTGTGTTCCTATTCAATGTCCTGGAGCGCGATGGCCAAGTGAATGGGAAAATGATCCGATTGCCTTCACTAAATTTCCTCTGAAAGGAAATAAGCAAGGGAAATTGTCATTTTTTGCTCAATGCGGATTTCTCTGGGTCAGTGAAGTTTGTTGAAACGGGAGGAGCGAAATTGTCTACAAATGACCGCGTAAATAATGACGAAGAGCGATGCTCTTCAATCAGGACTTAAGAGTCTTTTCACACTTGAAGACAATTGTAAGTAATTTTCGTGCTCAAAACAGCAGACAGACTCTCATCATTTCTGCTTTTCACTTTCACCTCATCAAATGCAATAAAGTGGATGAAAGTGAAAGAAAGGAAGAAAAAAAATATACCGGATTCAGAGGGTGTGAGAAAAAGCCGAGTGGGGGAGAATGGTTGGGCGTGTGATGAATTTTCCACCCAGAGATTGTCGTCAAGGAAAAGGTGCGCGCTGATGGGGAATGAGGAAAATTAATGATAAAATATTTCCAGTGGCATGTCTCTCTTTGTGGATTGAATACGCAGTGGCAAGAGAGGAGAAAGATGTGATATTTCTCTGACATTTGAGTGCGTGCGTTGATTTATTGAGGAGTGAAAATGAGACGAAGAAAAAATTCTTCTCAATGCGGCTTCTGTGTTTATTCATTCCTTCAGATTCTTGATTTTTCATAATGCGGAAAAAGTGTTGCCCAATTTGCACGCAATTGGCAAGATTTTCGAAAAATGTCGTAGAAAACGTTAAATCCTTTTCTATATAGAATATATGGTGTACATTTCTAAAGAGAAACATATAATATGTTGACTGATGAAAGACATACATTCGTAGAAATGCAGAAAATCACGATGGTCGATGAGAGGGTCTTTTTTCCCTTGGCAAAAATTTGTCGTTAAACAAGAATACGAAGAAGAAAGTAAGTAAAAAGCACTGTGCAAGAATGCGTGAAATGTTGTAGAAATTTAACGTGAGGTTGATTTTGAATGAATGTGGAAAATCCTTTTTTGGTAGAGAAGAAGAATTTTGAAGAATTTTCATCATCCCCCAAAAATGTCTCTCACACTCGCAAAACATTCTCGAGAGGGAAAAGGGAAAAATTAATAAAATAAATGTACTTATCGCGAAGGGAAGAGATAAGCGTTGTGAGGAGTAAATGAAATAGCAGCAGAGCAAAAGAATCTCTCTCGAGTGTCCTCGAAAGCCCAAAAAGAATAACAATTTCCTTTCTTCTCAAGAGGCCTTTTTCCTCCCTCTTCAGCTCCTCCGCCGCCCTCACACAGTCGAAATGATAATGAGAAATAATGATGCGATGCTGTTAGCAAAAGTGTAACTTAGCCGACAAAAGGCAAACAGGGAGTAAATTGTGGTAAATTGTTGAGGTAATAAAATATTTTCACTGATTGCTGGACGCAAATTGATATAAATGTAACAATATCGTTGGGTGAAATTAAGATGGATTTTCTGTGGGGTGAGTTTAGAGCTGAAGAGAACTCTCAAGTCGCTGTCACTTTGTTGATTGATAAAACAGAAGCCACGCCCACTGCTATTCTCCGCCTCTTCAGCATGATAAATCATCATTCAATTGACTTTTACCTTGGAGAAACAGCGCCCTTTGACTCTTGTCTGTTTCACGGTGAAGCTAAAGACAATTGGACAATTGTCAATGGGAGAGAATGTGAAAAATGGGAATTTGTGGAATGTTGAGGTGGGCAGAAAAGCGTGCGGTGAGAGAGGAAACAAATGGAAAAGCTCTTTTTCCATTAATTTGGGCTTCAGCTGAGGAATTACTGGGCTCTCTTTGTCCATCGTAGAAAGGCGGAATCACATTGATTGTCATCCCCATTTTCATCCCTATGTGACTTGTGTGAGTGTGTTTGTGCGCGCGCGAAGTGCAAATGAGAAATATTAGTCAATAAGGAGTTATTAAGAAATATGGAGAAGAATTTAACATTGAGAGCCATCGTGAAATTATAGGTGAAAATATTGAATTAATCAAGAGTTAATAAATTTCTATGTGTTCTACAAGTAGACGCAGAAGAGTATATAAAATTTACATGAGTAGCATTAGCTTCTACTTAGGACATTTCACGAAATCTTTTCTGATAAAGAAAAACAGAAACACACACATTTTGACGGTAATGTAAATGATGGAAATGAAATTTCCAGAATGACTTTTTCACTAAATGTTCATTGAAAGTCATTGAGAAGTCACTTTAGATATGGATAGAGAGAGAGAGAAGGGGGGGATTTTGAAGTATATATATATAAATGGAATTTTAATCTCATAAACATGCACTTTGAAAAAAAAACGAGCTATGAAAAATCCTCATTTCATTGATGATATAAAAACAAACATGGATAAACACTAAAAAAAATATAAATAAATCACACACAAAATTGCGTGTAAAACTGAGAGGAGAATAACTTAATAAAAATAAAAGAATTTTAATGATGATGATGAGATAAATTATATGAAATAATTAAATAAATGAGATATAAAAGAAATATTGCATTACTGAACATGGATTAATTCTAAGGAAAATATATAATTGATGAGAAAAAAGGACAGATAAAAATATTTAGAGATGAAGGAAGGAAAGAAAAGTGTGAGAAAAGTAGAATTTCTTTAAGTCAATAAGTGAAAGAAAAAAACAATTTGTAAATATATTTAAAAAAAAATTATTTGTAATTCTTTTATGAGTTCTTTTTCGGGTGAGGGCATTTTTTCCATAATTACTCGTATCTTTGTTTTTCGTATTTTCCAAAATGCCTCGATAATCTTTTCAATGCAATTCTTGACGATCAATTTTTTTTCTTCTTAATTCTATTTTCTGAAAAGAACAAACATAATGAAAATAGTTTATAGCCTAGAAATCATACCATATTTTTCAAACGGATAATGAATGAAATAAAAAATCTCCCCAATATAATTTAGAAGTCGAAAAAAAATAATTGAAAATATCAAACAATGCTTTCAATGTCGCATAATGAATAGGTATAAAATACAATTTAAAAGAAAAGAAAAAAACCAATCAATTTCTCACCATTCTCACATTAAATAATGAATAACATTTATTTCTCTCATGAAATATCAACAATCTAAAAGAAAAGAAAAATAGTGGTTTATGTAGCTGAGATAATAAAAAGATGATTGAATAGTAAACTGAAGAATTAAAAAAAAAGTAGTGCAGAGAAAATAGGAAATAATTTTAAAGCATAATTAAAGAATTAAGACAAATGAGTCTTTGGAGTGGTTTTGACTAATGGTGAATGAGAAATATATTCAATGAAATTATTCGTTGTATTTATTTTCATTTGAAGTTCCGATCTTTTTTTTGCTTTTGTGCTGAAGACACTTTGGCAGCAAAATGCATCATTAATTTATGATTATGAAAATGCGCGCAAAAAATGTTGATGCATGTGAAATGATTAGATAAAAAAAAATACACACAGCCACTTACACACATTGAACTAAAAGTGAGTAAAAAAAAGAAGAGAGAAAATACAATATTATAAAAAGAAAATGAGAGAAAAGTTTATAATTATATATTTTGCATTATTGATTAATTATGACATTGTATTATTGTAGAAAATATGATAACTGATATGAAAAGTGAAGAATCGTCGTGTTTTTTTCCCGTCGAATCGCTGCTGCTGTTCTGAATCTTCTGCACGCAAACGTTGAATGGTGAGTCAATTAAGACGGACAATATCGCGAATGTTCTTGACAACATGCTCCAGATCAATTTTTCCTCTCAGGCCATCATTTTGATACCAAAGAAATATTGCAATTACAGTCAGAACGAAATGGAGAGAGAAAGAGTGAAAAATGATGGTTTTCCACTTAATTAGCTATTTTATTCAAAACCTTCACTTGTAAAAAAAAGTGCTTTCAGTTCTTGTATGAATTTTAAACACTTTTCAGTGTTCCAAGAACTCGAAGCTCTAAAAAATCTCGAGTTTTATAGTGTTTTAATAGTCGATACTTCAAAATTGTATGGCGAAAGCTCTCCACATTGAAGCATTCACTTTTCAAAGTGTTGGAAAAAATGGCAATTACTCTGATGGAAAACAAATCCATGGCTCGTAAATTCTGATTCCCTGCCCATACTTTTTCTGATGCTTCACATTCTCTTGAGAGTAAAGCTTTTTACGCCTGAATCAGAAGTGCATCATTAGCCCAACTTCTGCTGCAATTGAATGCAAAAGCGTGAATGGTTTTTTTTTGGGGGAGCGAAAGTTTGCACCTCTTTTCTATTTCATTTCGTCACCACGAAAGCTCAATGTCCTCATCCTGTTAGAGTTACTTAGATGTGTTGCGGATGAGAAAGCTCATTAATTACTTCTCCCATTTGCAACTTTTTAGCGCTTTTCGCGCTGCCACACGACTGATTTTTGCGATATTTTCTGCGTTCCGGACGCGCGAGTCCAAAACTTTGTCAGTGCGACGCTTTAATGAGCGAAAAGAGCTACGATATTCTGAATGTGAATGGCTTGATCTAATTTACCGAGGCCGCTTAAAATGCATGAGAAGGGCGTACAATATAATTTGCATTGTCCTCTCGTGCGGACGCGAGGGAAGAGCTTTGATGTTTCGCGCCGGCGAATGAGAGTCAAATCAATAAATTAAATTATGTACTCAAGGGTGGAAGACTGGGCTTTTCTGCAGAAGGAGAGAGAATTTGTGCCAAAAATACCCAGTCGCCGCTCTCTGGGTGTAAATCTGGCTGTGTGGATTCTGTGGGAAAATCTCCACGCGCACGGAGCTTTTCCCCAGGATGATCACACTTGGGCGGAAGAAGTGGGAGTGAAAAATCCCTTTGAAGAATTGAGTGAAAAGTTTTCAGATGATGTACTTACACCGCACCGGCAGTGGAGAGTCCACATGAGATTTTGGCAAAAGAGGGAGTTCATGTGAAAATACCGAGGAAAATTTAATTATGCTCCCTGGAACTTGAACACTCACGACCGTGCTTAATGGCAATTAGAATGGAAGTAATGTAACTTTAAATTGTTTCACTCTGATGTGTCTCTCTGTATCATTTGGAAAAGTTCCATGGCGTCTCACAAAACATGACATGAAACTCACGGGATTCAAGAAGTTGCAAAAAGAAGTACATTTATCAACTTCTCTTAATTGATATTTACAAACATTTATTTCCCTAGCATTTCTGCACATGATTAAATTTAAGTTTCAGTGACAAATTTCAGTTTGTTAACGTCAAAGTGATATTTATAGTAATTTCATTACAAAGTTTAGCAACTTCAGCATCCCATTTTGTAGATAGCAAAACAGCAAAAAAAAACATGGAAAAAAGCACTCTTCTCATGCTGATAAGATGAGAAACTTTCTCATGCACTATTTGCACACTCGTCAAATTGCACTTTTGCATGACGACTGCACGTACAGGTGGAAAATTGAATAACATTTGGAAGAGACGCGGAAGGATTTCCTTATTCTCCACCGCCTCCCATTGGAGTGACGTAGAAGTTTCCCTTCAGCCTGACTGACTTTTTAGTGTGCCTCAAAAAGTGGCTTCTTGCGGAGTGAGGCATTGTTCACATCCAGGAAGTCATATATCAAGTGAAATTCCATCTCTTTTCACTGAAAATGTCCCATATTGTTTGACGAAGGCCATAAATTATGCCATGGCAAATAATGTGAAGAAATGAGGCGTTTTATTGCAACTTTTCGACGGGCGGGTCCGCAAAGAAATTCCACATACAATGTTAAATTGTCTGAATGGGGCCAGAGAGAGAGAGAGAGAGAGAGAGAGAGAGAAAGATCCCTTCGTGATGGCGCACACAGCGTTCCAGTAGGAGATTGAACCATGCGATGTAATTGCGGTGTGTGTGTTTTTCCACACAGTGGAAAACTTGCCGCAAAGTCATCAAATGCTTAATGTACAAGTGAAAAATCAGGTGGGAAAATGTGAGTTTTCCCCAGTGGAAAAAAAGGAACACTTTGATGGTTATGAAGAGTTGTTAGCACAAACAAATTACTTTATTTCACTCTCAGTGTCACTCTTGGACCAATTTCTTTTTCCCATACGTTTTCTCATGATATATTAAAGCTGACGGATTTATATTATTAAAAAAAAGTGCATAAACTTGTCTGCACTGACAACGATAAGATTCAATTTAAATTTTATTTATGATCGTCTTGCGCATCTTGCGCTTGTAATACGAGTTGCAGAGTCTAGAGGATGGCAAGGAATGCGCCAATTCTGGTCCTTTTTTTAATGGACACAATCGATTTTCCCACTCCGCCGCGACATATTTACCTTGTCGTCTTCCCAAGAGTGAAATTCCATCAATTTTTGGGAGACAAAAGAGGATGAAAGAACCCTCGAGAGTGGCTGGAAAGTAGGTTGAAACAGGATGAGAAACAGAGGTCAACTGGTTATTACTTCCTGCCAACAGTCCAGGCTTTAGTCAATGAAAAACAGAACATAGTGAAATCCCAGATTTCTATTTTCACCTGGAATACAGATACAACATAAGGAGTCGAGTAGGATTTCCTTAAATACATTTTCCCCAAATCAGAAAATATCTCAGCAGAACAAGACCTTTTTAAAGTTTACTATTAGGAATTTGAGGAATTTAACGTGAATGCAAAGCACCAAGAGTTGTGAGCTTCGGCAGAAAGAGGCTTTGGAAATGCTGACAGTGAGGCATAGAATTAAAATTGCCGGCCACAAGAGACGCCACAAGAGTCTTGGAATGTTGAAATGCTGAGCACAACTCGCCGAGCATGACTCCTCTTCTAGGATGTGGCGAGGCGGGCGCGGAAGGCGCAGTGCGAGTGGGATTGACACGGATGATGAGCAGCGAGGTGGGAATACCGCAGGGAGACGCATCTGATGCCCCAGCAGAGCGAGACAGGAATCCTCCTCATGACAAGCTGCATTTCCAGCCGGCTGACAAATTCCCCATGGGAACGGCATTGAAATGGCGAAAAGTGTGAGTGAGAAGGGAAAGACAGCAACGCGCGAGTTTGTTAATAACACTGCAAATCTCGATGACACAAAAGGTTTCTGCCAGTGAGTAAAAGTTGGCAAACTATTCATCTCTCCTGGTGAATAACGCAATCCTCCAAGTACGCCATCCTGATGGCATTCTGTGACAAACCGCTGAAGGATTCCATCAGCTCAGTTGCTGCTGCTAATTTGCATCCCTTCAGCCACTCGAGACGCCTTTGTTCGCTTCACAATTGAGAGACGCAAATGCGTTTCACAGGGTGGAACACACATTAGCCTTCTCACCCCCACCGCAAACATCCCTCAGCCACGCAGATTGCCAGCATTCAGCGAACCCATTGATATTCTGACTACAAACGTGAGATTTTTTTTCTGCTTTCGCCATCGATTCACGCCCGAATTGGGTTCAGGATTGCGCTTGTGAGGGTGACTTTTCAAAGTCATGGGCTTGCGAAAAAGACAAAAAAAAGCACACAATGGAGAAACATATTCCATTTGATTTTGAACGGAACTAAAGAGCAGACTTTTTTTGTGAAATTCTACCAATAAAGTGGAAAAAAGCCATTGAAGTATTTCAAAATTTGGAAAGGGAATTTCAATTTTCGGTGTTTGCTAATTACGCTATCATTCGTGATGCGTCGTTTTTGACCAATGGAGCGATTTTCCCTCACACAAGAGATGTAAAAAAAAATGTGTTATAGTTATTTAACATACGCTTTTGCTATTCTGAGTCACGCATGTAAGGCTTAAAATGGCGATTGTGTAAAAGTTTTATTATTTGGGTTATTTACTTTTCTAGTTTGAATGTGTAATTTTAACACATTCTGCGGAATGTCTTGCGAAGATTGATCAATCCACAATTGTGGCTCTTATTTTCTAGCAAAAACATGAATGATGTTTGCAGTAAATCCTTTTTATCACGGATTTACTAATTATTTGCTTGAATTTTAATAATTTTGACAAATTTCACCATTTATTCCTTTCTAAAACATTGTTTTAGCGAAAATAACAAGGGATGTTTGTCCATAGCCACTTCTAATGTTAAACTTTTACATATTTAAAGTTTAACGTGACTGTTTAACTGGTTATTGTTCTACTACAAATCTGAATATTAAGTCTCGCTGTGAACACTGTATTTTAATTTACAGAGTATATGAAAGCTCAAATTACGATGTAATACGTGACCAAAATTATGCAACAGATAAATTCTCTCAACATCTTTCCATATACAGTTCACGAGTGTTCAAAAGAATTGTGGAATTGATGCATTTGCCAGACTGAAGAGAATCCATTGTTTAGAAGCAGAAGAGAGCGAAATGTTTCAAAATGAAGTTTCACTGAAATTGGAAAAAGCTGTAAAGCGATCTGGAAAGTGCTCACAAAAGCTTTCACCGAATGCGTGTGTGTTTGTATGAGAAATTTTCACGTGAAATTCAGAATGTACAATGAAAACACCCTGAGCTTCAATTCTCTCAATTTATCAGTATTTCAAACAAGCTGTGCGAATGACAAAGCGGGAGTTGTGACAGAATTAATTGAATTTCGCATGCATTCGCCTTTTATGTTCTCTACCTGAAACCGGAGAGCTTCAATTTTCCGATTTTCCGGCGAACTTTGTCTCACCCACGCAATTCCCTTGCT